AGGCGACCATTCTAGGGAGGCAGACGGTCAGTTTAGATAGATGATGTAGACTGAGAGTTTAGGCAGGTGATGTAGACGACCATTCTAGGGAGGCAGACGGTCAGTTTAGATAGATGAGGTAGACTGAGAGTTTAGGCAGGTGATGTAGACGACCATTCTAGGGAGGCAGACGGTCAGTTTAGATAGATGATGTAGACTGAGAGTTTAGGCAGGTGATGTAGACGACCATTCTAGAGAGGCAGACGGTCAGTTTAGATAGATGATGTAGACTGAGAGTTTAGGCAGGTGATGTAGGCGACCATTCTAGAGAGGCAGACGGTCAGTTTAGATAGATGATGTAGACTGAGAGTTTAGGCAGGTGAGGTAGGCGACCATTCTAGGGAGGCAGACGGTCAGTTTAGATAGATGAGGTAGACTGAGAGTTTAGGCAGGTGATGTAGACGACCATTCTAGGGAGGCAGACGGTCAGTTTAGATAGATGAGGTAGACTGAGAGTTTAGGCAGGTGATGTAGGCGACCATTCTAGGGAGGCAGACGGTCAGTTTAGATAGATGATGTAGACTGAGAGTTTAGGCAGGTGATGTAGACGACCATTCTAGGGAGGCAGACGGTCAGTTTAGATAGATGATGTAGACTGAGAGTTTAGGCAGGTGATGTAGACGACCATTCTAGGGAGGCAGACGGTCAGTTTAGATAGATGAGGTAGACTGAGAGTTTAGGCAGGTGATGTAGGCGACCATTCTAGGGAGGCAGACGGTCAGTTTAGATAGATGAGGTAGACTGAGAGTTTAGGCAGGTGATGTAGACGACCATTCTAGGGAGGCAGACGGTCAGTTTAGATAGATGATGTAGACTGAGAGTTTAGGCAGGTGATGTAGACGACCATTCTAGGGAGGCAGACGGTCAGTTTAGATAGATGAGGTAGACTGAGAGTTTAGGCAGGTGATGGAGACGACCATTCTAGGGAGGCAGACGGTCAGTTTAGATAGATGAGGTAGACTGAGAGTTTAGGCAGGTGATGTAGACGACCATTCTAGGGAGGCAGACGGTCAGTTTAGATAGATGATGTAGACTGACAGTTTAGGCAGGTGATGTAGACGACCATTCTAGAGAGGCAGACGGTCAGTTTAGATAGATGAGGTAGACTGAGAGTTTAGGCAGGTGATGTAGGCGACCATTCTAGGGAGGCAGACGGTCAGTTTAGATAGATGAGGTAGACTGAGAGTTTAGGCAGGTGATGTAGACGACCAGTCTAGGGAGGCAGACGGTCAGTTTAGATAGATGAGGTAGACTGAGAGTTTAGGCAGGTGATGTAGACGACCATTCTAGGGAGGCAGACGGTCAGTTTAGATAGATGAGGTAGACTGAGAGTTTAGGCAGGTGATGGAGACGACCATTCTAGGGAGGCAGACGGTCAGTTTAGATAGATGATGTAGACTGAGAGTTTAGGCAGGTGATGTAGACGACCATTCTAGGGAGGGAGACGGTCAGTTTAGATGGATGATGTAGACTGAGAGTTTAGGCAGGTGATGGAGACGATCATTCTAGGGAGGCAGACGGTCAGTTTAGATAGATGAGGTAGACTGAGAGTTAAGGCAGGTGATGTAGGCGACCATTCTAGGGAGGCAGACGGTCAGTTTAGATAGATGATGTAGACTGAGAGTTTAGGCAGGTGATGTAGGCGACCATTCTAGGGAGGCAGACGGTCAGTTTAGATAGATGATGTAGACTGAGAGTTTAGGCAGGTGAGGTAGGCGACCATTCTAGGGAGGCAGACGGTCAGTTTAGATAGATGAGGTAGACTGAGAGTTTAGGCAGGTGATGTAGACGACCATTCTAGGGAGGCAGACGGTCAGTTTAGATAGATGAGGTAGACTGAGAGTTTAGGCAGGTGATGTAGGCGACCATTCTAGGGAGGCAGACGGTCAGTTTAGATAGATGATGTAGACTGAGAGTTTAGGCAGGTGATGTAGACGACCATTCTAGGGAGGCAGACGGTCAGTTTAGATAGATGAGGTAGACTGAGAGTTTAGGCAGGTGATGTAGACGACCATTCTAGGGAGGCAGACGGTCAGTTTAGATAGATGAGGTAGACTGAGAGTTTAGGCAGGTGATGTAGGCGACCATTCTAGGGAGGCAGACGGTCAGTTTAGATAGATGAGGTAGACTGAGAGTTTAGGCAGGTGATGTAGACGACCATTCTAGGGAGGCAGACGGTCAGTTTAGATAGATGATGTAGACTGAGAGTTTAGGCAGGTGATGTAGACGACCATTCTAGGGAGGCAGACGGTCAGTTTAGATAGATGAGGTAGACTGAGAGTTTAGGCAGGTGATGTAGACGACCATTCTAGAGAGGCAGACGGTCAGTTTAGATAGATGATGTAGACTGAGAGTTTAGGCAGGTGATGTAGACGACCATTCTAGGGAGGCAGACGGTCAGTTTAGATAGATGAGGTAGACTGAGAGTTTAGGCAGGTGATGTAGGCGACCATTCTAGGGAGGCAGACGGTCAGTTTAGATAGATGAGGTAGACTGAGAGTTTAGGCAGGTGATGTAGACGACCAGTCTAGGGAGGCAGACGGTCAGTTTAGATAGATGAGGTAGACTGAGAGTTTAGGCAGGTGATGTAGACGACCATTCTAGGGAGGCAGACGGTCAGTTTAGATAGATGATGTAGACTGAGAGTTTAGGCAGGTGATGGAGACGACCATTCTAGGGAGGCAGACGGTCAGTTTAGATAGATGATGTAGACTGAGAGTTTAGGCAGGTGATGTAGACGACCATTCTAGGGAGGCAGACGGTCAGTTTAGATAGATGATGTAGACTGACAGTTTAGGCAGGTGATGTAGACGACCATTCTAGAGAGGCAGACGGTCAGTTTAGATAGATGAGGTAGACTGAGAGTTTAGGCAGGTGATGTAGGCGACCATTCTAGGGAGGCAGACGGTCAGTTTAGATAGATGAGGTAGACTGAGAGTTTAGGCAGGTGATGTAGACGACCAGTCTAGGGAGGCAGACGGTCAGTTTAGATAGATGAGGTAGACTGAGAGTTTAGGCAGGTGATGTAGACGACCATTCTAGGGAGGCAGACGGTCAGTTTAGATAGATGAGGTAGACTGAGAGTTTAGGCAGGTGATGGAGACGACCATTCTAGGGAGGCAGACGGTCAGTTTAGATAGATGATGTAGACTGAGAGTTTAGGCAGGTGATGTAGACGACCATTCTAGGGAGGGAGACGGTCAGTTTAGATGGATGATGTAGACTGAGAGTTTAGGCAGGTGATGGAGACGATCATTCTAGGGAGGCAGACGGTCAGTTTAGATAGATGAGGTAGACTGAGAGTTAAGGCAGGTGATGTAGGCGACCATTCTAGGGAGGCAGACGGTCAGTTTAGATAGATGATGTAGACTGAGAGTTTAGGCAGGTGATGTAGGCGACCATTCTAGGGAGGCAGACGGTCAGTTTAGATAGATGATGTAGACTGAGAGTTTAGGCAGGTGAGGTAGGCGACCATTCTAGGGAGGCAGACGGTCAGTTTAGATAGATGAGGTAGACTGAGAGTTTAGGCAGGTGATGTAGGCGACCATTCTAGGGAGGCAGACGGTCAGTTTAGATAGATGATGTAGACTGAGAGTTTAGGCAGGTGATGTAGGCGACCATTCTAGGGAGGCAGACGGTCAGTTTAGATAGATGATGTAGACTGAGAGTTTAGGCAGGTGATGTAGACGACCATTCTAGGGAGGCAGACGGTCAGTTTAGATAGATGAGGTAGACTGAGAGTTTAGGCAGGTGATGTAGACGACCATTCTAGGGAGGCAGACGGTCAGTTTAGATAGATGAGGTAGACTGAGAGTTTAGGCAGGTGATGTAGGCGACCATTCTAGGGAGGCAGACGGTCAGTTTAGATAGATGAGGTAGACTGAGAGTTTAGGCAGGTGATGTAGGCGACCATTCTAGGGAGGCAGACGGTCAGTTTAGATAGATGATGTAGACTGAGAGTTTAGGCAGGTGATGTAGGCGACCATTCTAGAGAGGCAGACGGTCAGTTTAGATAGATGATGTAGACTGAGAGTTTAGGCAGGTGATGTAGGCGACCATTCTAGGGAGGCAGACGGTCAGTTTAGATAGATGAGGTAGACTGAGAGTTTAGGCAGGTGATGTAGACGACCATTCTAGGGAGGCAGACGGTCAGCTTAGATAGATGAGGTAGACTGAGAGTTTAGGCAGGTGATGTAGGCGACCATTCTAGGGAGGCAGACAGTCAGTTTAGATAGATGATGTAGACTGAGAGTTTAGGCAGGTGATGTAGACGACCATTCTAGGGAGGCAGACGGTCAGTTTAGATAGATGAGGTAGACTGAGAGTTTAGGCAGGTGATGTAGACGACCATTCTAGGGAGGCAGACGGTCAGTTTAGATAGATGAGGTAGACTGAGAGTTTAGGCAGGTGATGTAGGCGACCATTCTAGGGAGGCAGACGGTCAGTTTAGATAGATGATGTAGACTGAGAGTTTAGGCAGGTGATGTAGACGACCAGTCTAGGGAGGCAGACGGTCAGTTTAGATAGATGATGTAGACTGAGAGTTTAGGCAGGTGAGGTAGGCGACCATTCTAGGGAGGCAGACGGTCAGTTTAGATAGATGATGTAGACTGAGAGTTTAGGCAGGTGAGGTAGGCGACCATTCTAGGGAGGCAGACGGTCAGTTTAGATAGATGATGTAGACTGAGAGTTTAGGCAGGTGATGTAGACGACCATTCTAGGGAGGCAGACGGTCAGTTTAGATAGATGATGTAGACTGAGAGTTTAGGCAGGTGATGTAGACGACCATTCTAGGGAGGCAGACAGACACCCTGGACTAAAGTAGTCGAGCAGTTTAGACAGGTGAGGAAGACAGATATGATAGACAGGTAAATTTTCTCGTGTCTACTAGCAAAGATGGACATAATCATGTTTATTTACATATATATTTAACCACTGTTCTGTGTGTTATTGAAGGATGCACCTACTTCCTCCCCTGGTGTTTCTGCTGTGGTCTCAGCAAACAATGGGTTTCCATGCGTCGTCGACGGCAGTGACCAATTCTCACATCGGCGACCTCTTAAAGTCTGCTGCAAGGGTCCCGGACAATAAATTTGATACCATCTCGGTTGACGTCAATGGCATTAAAAAGAGCGTCGACATTTTGAAGAAAGACACAAACAATAACAGTAGGTTCACAAGGTCATGGAGTATCTGTCATGTAATATATATCATTAAGTTTATATGATGGAGTAACTGCCATGGAGAATCTGTCATACATTATATATCATTAAGTATCTATGATGGAGTAACTGTCATGAAGTATCTGTCATACATTATATATCATAAAGTTTCTATGATGGAGTAACTGCCATGGAGTATCTGCCATACAATATATATCATTTAGTATCTATGATGAAGTAACTGTCATGCGGCATCTGCCATGTACTATATATCATTCAGTATCTATGATGGAGTAACTGTCATGAAGTATCTGTCATACATTATATATCATTAAGTATCTATGATGGAGTAACTGCCATGGAGTATCTGTCATACATTATATATCATTTAGTATCTATGATGGAGTAACTACCATGGAGTATCTGTCATACAATATATATCATTTAGTATCTATGATGGAGTAACTGCCATGGAGTATCTGTCATACAATATATATCATTTAGTATCTATGATGAAGTAACTGTCATGCGGCATCTGTCATGTACTATATATCATTCAGTATCTATGATGGAGTAACTGTCATGAAGTATCTGTCATACATTATATATCATTAAGTATCTATGATGGAGTAACTACCATGGAGTATCTGTCATACAATATATATCATTTAGTATCTATGATGGAGTAACTGCCATGGAGTATCTGTCATACAATATATATCATTAAGTATCTATGATGGAGTAACTGCCATGGAGTATCTGTCATACAATATATATCATTCAGTATCTATGATGGAGTAACAGTCATGGAGAATCTGTCATACAATATATATCATTAAGTATATATGATGGATTAACTGTCATGCTGTATCTGCCATACAATATATATCATTCAGTATATATCATGGAGTAACTGTCGTGTAATATATGTCATTCAGTATCTATCATGGAGTAACTATGATGTAAGTATAGATCATTCAGGATCTATAATGGAGTAACTGCCATGCGGGATCTGTCTAGCAGTAGCTATCATACATATATATCGTGCAATATCTGGTTTGAAATATGTGTCATGCAGTATTTATTGGGAAACATGTCTTGCAGTATATACTGTTAAATACATATTTGGTGATATCTACCATGCAGTATTTTACATGGAAATATGTGCGTTAGTAATTTGGTACTCTGTAATGAATGAAGTGATTTGTCGTCACTAGTTGCTCTGTAAGAAAGGATGTCTTGTCTCGTCCTACTCATGTCTATGTAACAAAGTGTGGTGGTGTGAGTTCTTGTAGGAAATGATGTCTTGTCTTGTCCTACTCATGTCTATGTAACAATGTGCGGTGTTGTGAGTTCTTGTAAGAAAGGATGTCTTGTCTCGTCCTACTCATGTCTATGTAACAATGTGCGGTGGTGGGAGTTCTTGTAAGAAAGGATGTCTTGTCTCGTCCTACTCATGTCTATGTAACAAAGTGTGGTGGTGTGAGTTCTTGTACGAAATGATGTCTTGTCTCGTCCTACTCATGTCTATGTAACAATGTGCGGTGGTGAGAGTTCTTGTAAGAAAGGATGTCTTGTCTCGTCCTACTCATGTCTATGTAACAATGTGCGGTGGTGGGAGTTCTTGTAAGAAAGGATGTCTTGTCTCGTCCTACTCATGTCTATGTAACAATGTGTGGTGGTGGGAGTTCTTGTAAGGGAGGATGTCTTGTCTCGTCCTACTCATGTCTATGTAACAATGTGTGGTGGTGGGAGTTCTTGTAAGAAAGGATGTCTTGTCTCGTCCTACTCATGTCTATGTAACAATGTGCGGTGGTGTGAGTTCTTGTAAGAAAGGATGTCTTGTCTCGTCCTACTCATGTCTTTGTAACAAAGTGTGGTGGTGAGAGTTCTTGTAAGAAAGGATGTCTTGTCTCGTCCTACTCATGTCTATGTAACAAAGTGTGGTGGTGAGAGTTCTTGTAAGAAAGGATGTCTTGTCTCGTCCTACTCATGTCTATGTAACAAAGTGCGGTGGTGTGAGTTCTTGTAAGAAAGGATGTCTTGTCTCGTCCTACTCATGTCTATGTAACAATGTGCGGTGGTGGGAGTTCTTGTAAGAAAGGATGTCTTGTCTCGTCCTACTCATGTCTATGTAACAATGTGCGGTGGTGTGAGTTCTTGTAGGAAAGGATGTCTTGTCTCGTCCTACTCATGTCTTTGTAACAAAGTGTTGTGGTGGGAGTTCTTGTAAGAAAGGATGTCTTGTCTCGTCCTACTCATGTCTATGTAACAATGTGCGGTGGTGTGAGTTCTTGTAAGAAAGGATGTCTTGTCTCGTCCTACTCATGTCTATGTAACAATGTGTGGTGGTGGGAGTTCTTGTAAGAAAGGATGTCTTGTCTCGTCCTACTCATGTCTATGTAACAATGTGCGGTGGTGTGAGTTCTTGTAGGAAAGGATGTCTTGTCTCGTCCTACTCATGTCTATGTAACAATGTGCGGTGGTGGGAGTTCTTGTAAGAAAGGATGTCTTGTCTCGTCCTACTCATGTCTATGTAACAATGTGCGGTGGTGTGAGTTCTTGTAAGAAAGGATGTCTTGTATCGTCCTACTCATGTCTATGTAACAATGTGTGGTGGTGAGAGTTCTTGTAAGAAAGGATGTCTTGTCTCGTCCTACTCATGTCTTTGTAACAATGTGCGGTGGTGTGAGTTCTTGTAGGAAAGGATGTCTTGTCTCGTCCTACTCATGTCTATGTAACAAAGTGTGGTGGTGTGAGTTCTTGTAAGAAAGGATGTCTTGTCTCGTCCTACTCATGTCTATGTAACAATGTGTGGTGGTGTGAGTTCTTGTACGAAATTATGTCTTGTCTCGTCCTACTCATGTCTATGTAACAAAGTGCGGTGGTGAGAGTTCTTGTAAGAAAGGATGTCTTGTCTCGTCCTACTCATGTCTATGTAACAAAGTGCGGTGGTGTGAGTTCTTGTAGGAAAGGATGTCTTGTCTCGTCCTACTCATGTCTTTGTAACAATGTGTGGTGGTGGGAGTTCTTGTAAGAAAGGATGTCTTGTCTCGTCCTACTCATGTCTATGTAACAATGTGCGGTGGTGTGAGTTCTTGTAGGAAAGGATGTCTTGTCTCGTCCTACTCATGTCTATGTAACAATGTGCGGTGGTGGGAGTTCTTGTAAGAAAGGATGTCTTGTCTCGTCCTACTCATGTCTTTGTAACAATGTGTGGTGGTGGGAGTTCTTGTAAGAAAGGATGTCTTGTCTCGTCCTACTCATGTCTTTGTAACAATGTGCGGTGGTGGGAGTTCTTGTAAGAAAGGATGTCTTGTCTCGTCCTACTCATGTCTTTGTAACAATGTGTGGTGGTGGGAGTTCTTGTAAGAAAGGATGTCTAGTCTCGTCCTACTCATGTCTTTGTAACAATGTGTGGTGGTGTGAGTTCTTGTAAGAAAGGATGTCTTGTCTCGTCCTACTCATGTCTATGTAACAATGTGCGGTTGTGTGAGTTCTTGCAAGAAAGGATGTGTTGTCTTTCTGGGCAGTGATTTCAAAATCGAAAATATATTTTACTGTTTCTTGGACAAAGTCTTTGAAGTGCATGTATATGTTGGAAGAACATGAATTCATGACACTATTTCGTGGATGCCAAACTATTTTATTCTTGCAAGGACGTTTCATCGGTTAATTCTTGACCCTTCAGGGGAATATTGAATAAGCTTATGGAGTTAATATATAATAGAGGATTGGCGGGAAACACCCTACTACGTGCGACTGCTGTCGTGGTCCACATAGAGACAGGGACATCGGTGCGTCTTATGATTCTGTTATCTAGATTTATTAATACTGACGATTCCATCGGAGAGACTCCAGATTAATAGCGTGTTGTCACTGTATCAGGTTGACAACTGAAGCTGACTGGACGTTCTAACCATATCCCTAACCCTTACACTGACAACTGAAGCTGACTTGACGTTCTAAGCCTAACCCTAACCCTAACACTGACAACTGAAGCTGACTGGACGTTCTAACCATATCCCTTACCCTAACACTGACAACTGAAGCTGACTTGACGTTCTAACCCTAACCCTAACCCTAACACTGACAACTGAAGCTGACTGGACGTTCAAACCATATCCCTTACCCTAACACTGACAACTGAAGCTGACTGGACGTTCTAACCCTAACCTTAACCTGAGACTGACAACTGAAGCTGACTGGACGTTCTAACCCTAACCCTAACCCTAATACTGACAACTGAAGCTGACTGGACGTTCTTACCCTTACCTTAACCCTAACCCTAATACTGACAACTGAAGCTCACTGGACGTTCAAACCATATCCCTTACCCTAATACTGACAACTGAAGCTGAATGGACGTTCTAACCCTAACCCTAAACCTAACGCTAACCCTAATAATGACAACTGAAGCTGACTGGACGTTCTAACCCTAACCCTAACCCTAACACTGACAACTGAAGCTGACTGGACGTTCAAGCCATATCCCTTACCCTAACACTGACAACTGAAGCTGACTGGACGTTCTAACCCTAACCTTAACCTGAGACTGACAACTGAAGCTGACTGGACGTTCTAACCCTAACCCTAACCTTAATACTGACAACTGAAGCTGACTGGACGTTCTTACCCTTACCTTAACCCTAACACTGACAACTGAAGCTGACTGGACGTTCTAACCCTAACCCTTACCCTAACACTGACAACTGAAGCTGACTTGACGTTCTAACCCTAACCCTAACCCTAACACTGACAACTGAAGCTGACTCGACGTTCAAACCATATCCCTTACCCTAACACTGACAACTGAAGCTGACTGGACGTTCTAACCCTAACCTTAACCTGAGACTGACAACTGAAGCTGACTGGACGTTCTAACCCTAACCCTAACCCTAATACTGACAACTGAAGCTGACTGGACGTTCTTACCCTTACCTTAACCCTAACCCTAATACTGACAACTGAAGCTCACTGGACGTTCAAACCATATCCCTTACCCTAATACTGACAACTGAAGCTGAATGGACGTTCTAACCCTAACCCTAAACCTAACGCTAACCCTAATACTGACAACTGAAGCTGACTGGACGTTCTAACCCTAACCCTAACCCTAACACTGACAACTGAAGCTGACTGGACGTTCAAACCATATCCCTTACCCTAACACTGACAACTGAAGCTGACTGGACGTTCTAACCCTAACCTTAACCTGAGACTGACAACTGAAGCTGACTGGACGTTCTAACCCTAACCCTAACCTTAATACTGACAACTGAAGCTGACTGGACGTTCTTACCCTTACCTTAACCCTAACACTGACAACTGAAGCTGACTGGACGTTCTAACCCTAACCCTTACCCTAACACTGACAACTGAAGCTGACTTGACGTTCTAACCCTAACCCTTACCCTAATACTGACAACTGAAGCTGACTTGACGTTCTTACCCTAACCCTAACCCTAACACTGACAACTGAAGCTGACTGGACGTTCTTACCCTTACCTGAACCCTAACCCTAATACTGACAACTGAAGCTCACTGGACGTTCAAACCATATCCCTTACCCTAATACTGACAACTGAAGCTGAATGGACGTTCTAACCCTAACCCTAAACCTAATGCTAACCCTAATACTGACAACTGAAGCTGACTGGACGTTCTAACCCTAACCCTAACCCTAACACTGACAACTGAAGCTGACTGGACGTTCAAACCATATCCCTTACCCTAACACTGACAACTGAAGCTGACTGGACGTTCTAACCCTAACCTTAACCTGAGACTGACAACTGAAGCTGACTGTACGTTCTAACCCTAACCCTAACCCTAATACTGACAACTGAAGCTGACTGGACGTTCTTACCCTTACCTTAACCCTAACACTGACAACTGAAGCTGACTGGACGTTCTAACCCTAACCCTAACCCTAACACTGACAACTGAAGCTGACTAGACGTTCTAACCCTAACCCTTACCCTAATACTGACAACTGAAGCTGACTTGACGTTCTAACCCTAACCCTAACCCTAACACTGACAACTGAAGCTCACTGGACGTTCAAACCATATCCCTTACCCTAATACTGACAACTGAAGCTGAATGGACGTTCTAACCCTAACCCTAAACCTAACGCTAACCCTAATACTGACAACTGAAGCTGACTGGACGTTCTAACCCTAACCCTAACCCTAACACTGACAACTGAAGCTGACTGGACGTTCAAGCCATATCCCTTACCCTAACACTGACAACTGAAGCTGACTGGACGTTCTAACCCTAACCTTAACCTGAGACTGACAACTGAAGCTGACTGGACGTTCTAACCCTAACCCTAACCTTAATACTGACAACTGAAGCTGACTGGACGTTCTTACCCTTACCTTAACCCTAACACTGACAACTGAAGCTGACTGGACGTTCTAACCCTAACCCTTACCCTAACACTGACAACTGAAGCTGACTTGACGTTCTAACCCTAACCCTTACCCTAATACTGACAACTGAAGCTGACTTGACGTTCTAACCCTAACCCTAACCCTAACACTGACAACTGAAGCTGACTGGACGTTCTTACCCTTACCTTAACCCTAACCCTAATACTGACAACTGAAGCTCACTGGACGTTCAAACCATATCCCTTACCCTAATACTGACAACTGAAGCTGAATGGACGTTCTAACCCTAACCCTAAACCTAATGCTAACCCTAATACTGACAACTGAAGCTGACTGGACGTTCTAACCCTAACCCTAACCCTAACACTGACAACTGAAGCTGACTGGACGTTCAAACCATATCCCTTACCCTAACACTGACAACTGAAGCTGACTGGACGTTCTAACCCTAACCTTAACCTGAGACTGACAACTGAAGCTGACTGGACGTTCTAACCCTAACCCTAACCCTAATACTGACAACTGAAGCTGACTGGACGTTCTTACCCTTACCTTAACCCTAACACTGACAACTGAAGCTGACTGGACGTTCTAACCCTAACCCTTACCCTAACACTGACAACTGAAGCTGACTAGACGTTCTAACCCTAACCCTTATCCTAATACTGACAACTGAAGCTGACTTGACGTTCTAACCCTAACCCTAACCCTAACACTGACAACTGAAGCTGACTGGACGTTCTTACCCTTACCTTAACCCTAACCCTAATACTGACAACTGAAGCTCACTGGACGTTCAAACCATATCCCTTACCCTAATACTGACAACTGAAGCTGAATGGACGTTCTAACCCTAACAGGGGCGGTCGGGTAGCCTAGTGGTTAAAGCGTTCGCTCGTCACGCAGAAGACCCAGGTTCGATTCCCGACATGGGTACAATGTGTGAAGCCCATTTCTGGTGTCCCCCGCCGTGATATTGCTGGAATATTGCTAAAAGCGGCGTAAAACCATACTCACTCACTCACTCTAACCCTAACCCTAAACCTAACACTGACAACTGAAGCTGACTTGACGTTCTAAGCCTAACCCTAACCCTAACACTGACAACTGAAGCTGACTGGACGTTCTTACCCTAACCCTAACCCTAACACTGACAACTGAAGCTGACTGGACGTTCTTACCCTTACCTTAACCCTAACACTGACAACTGAAGCTGACTGGACGTTCTAACCCTAACACTAACACTGACAACTGAAGCTGACTGGACGTTCTAACCATATCCCTTACCCTAACACTGACAACTGAAGCTGACTTGACGTTCTAACCCTAACCCTAACACTAACACTGACAACTGAAGCTGACTGGACGTTCTAACCATATCCCTTACCCTAACACTGACAACTGAAGCTGATTTGACGTTCTAACCCTAACCCTAACCCTAACACTGACAAATGTTTTACTTTCAGAGAATGCAATGGGTGATGTTAGGAAGATGATGAGCAAGGATTTGTCTGCCGTCGTTGACGGTGTCATGAAAACAAAGACTGGTATGAGAGACGTCAAGGAAGACGTCTCGAAAATTCAAAAAGAGATGCATTTGGGAATGAAGAACATGGCTGTTCTCGAGAATGAAGTCATGGATATAAAGAAAGAATTTACTACCGTCAATGAAGACATCGCTGAAATAAAGAAAGTATTGACGTCCATGCTGAGTGACGTCACTCAAATGCAGACAGGCATGAATGACGTCATGATACTGAAGCCAAAGATGACGACAATCACAGCAGACGTCGCAGCACTGACGGAAGACATAACGGCAGTTTTGAGAGACGTACATGTTCTGAAGGCACAGGACGAATCTCAAGGTGGAGATGGAGGCAGAGTGTAGGGTTTGGGGATGAAGTGAAATGAGATGGGGAGTGGAAGTGGGGAAGTGGGGAAGAAGTGGAAGCGAGATGGTGAAGGTGATGGAGATGTGGAAGGAAAGAATAGAAGTGGGGGAGATATGGAATTGAGAGGATGTGGGTGGGGAGATGTGGAATTGAGAGGATGTGGGTGGGGAGATGTGGAAGGTAGAGGATGGAGGTGGGGGAGATGTGGAAGGAGAGGATGGAGATAAAGATATGTGGAAGGAGTGGATGGAGATGGGTGGATGTGGAATGAGAGGATGTGGGTGGGGAGATCTGGAAGGAGAGGGGGTGGGTGGGGAGATGTTGAATGAGAGGATGGAGGTGGGGGAGATGTGGAAGGAGAGGATGTGGGTGGGGAGATGTGGAAGGTAGAGGATGGAGGTTGGGGAGATGTGGAAGGTAGAGGATGGAGGTGGGGGAGATGTTGAAGGAGAAGATGGAGGTGGGGGAGATGTGGAAGGAGAAGATGGAGGTGGGGGAGATGTAGAGGTAGGGGGTGGAGGTGGGGGAGATGTGGAAGGATAAGATGGAGATGGGGGAGATGTGTAAGGAGAGGATGGAGGTAGAGAGATGTTGAAGAAGAGGATGTGGGTGGAGAGATGTGGAAGGAGAGGATGGAGGTGGGGAGATGCTGAAGGAGAGGATGGAGGTGGTGAGATGTGGAAGGAGAGGATTGAGGTGGGGAGATGTAGAAGGAGAAGATGTTGCTTGGGGAGATGTGGAAGGTAGAGGATGGATGTGGAGAGATGTGGAAGGAGTGGATTGAGGTGGGGCTAGATGTGGAAGGAGAGGATGGAGGTGGGGGAGATGTGGAAGGAGAAGATGGAGGTGGGGGAGATGTTGAAGGAGTGGATGGAGCTTGGGAGTTGTGGAAGGAGTGGATGGAGGTGGGGAGATGTTGAAGGAGAGGATAGATGTGGGGAGATGTGGAAGGAGAGGATGGAGGTGGGGGAGATGTAGAAGGAGAAGATGTTGCTGGGGGAGATGTGGAAGGTAGAGGATGGATGTGGAGAGATGTGGAAGGAGTGGATGGAGGTGGGGCTAGATGTGGAAGGAGAGGATGGAGGTGATGATATGTGGAGGGGAAGGTGGAGGTGGGGAGATGTGGAAGGTAGAGGATGGAGGTGGGGGAGATGTGGAAGGAGAGGATGTGGGTGGGGAGATGTGGAAGGAGAGGATGGAGGTGGGGGAGATGTTGAAGGAGAAGATGGAGGTGGGGGAGATGTGGAAGGAAAAGATGGAGGTGGGGGAGATGTGGAAGGATGAGATGGAGATGGGGGAGATGTGGAAGGAGAAGATGGAGGTTGGGGAGATGTGGAAGGAGAATATGGAGGTGGGGGAGATGTGGAAGGAGAGGATGTGGGTGGGGAGATGTGGAAGGAGAGGATGGAGGTGGGGAGATGTAGAAGGAGAAGATGTTGCTTGGGGAGATGTGGAAGGTAGAGGATGGATGTCGAGAGATGTGGAAGGAGTGGATTGAGGTGGGGCTAGATGTGGAAGGAGAGGATGGAGGTGGGGGAGATGTGGAAGGAGAAGATGGAGTGGGGGAGATGTGGAAGGAGAGGGTGGAGGTGGGGGAGATGTGGAAGGAGAGGATGGAGGTGGGGAGTTGTGGAAGGAGTGGATGGAGGTGGGGAGATGTTGAAGGAGAGGATAGATGTGGGGAGATGTTAAAAGAGAGGATGGAGGTGGGGAGATGTGGAAGGAGAGGATGGAGGTGGGGGAGATGTAGAAGGAGAAGATGTTGCTGGGGGAGATGTGGAAGGTAGAGGATGGATGTGGAGAGATGTGGAAGGAGTGGATGGAGGTGGGGCTAGATGTGGAATGAGAGGATGGAGGTGGTGATATGTGGAAGGAGAAGATGGAGGTGGGGAGATGTGGAAGGTAGAGGATGGAGGTGGGGGAGATGTGGAAGGAGAGGATGTGGGTGGGGAGATGTGGAAGGAGAGGATGGAGGTGGGGAGATGTGGAAGGAGAGGATGGATGTAGGGAGATGTGGAAGGAGAGGATTGTGTTGGGGAGATGTGGAAGGTAGAGGATGGAGGTGGGGACATGTGGAAGGAGTGGATAGAGGTGGGGAGATGTTGAAGGAGTGGATGGAGGTGCGGAGATGTGGAAGGAGTGGATGGAGGTGCGGAGATGTGGAAGGAGTGGATGGAGGTGGGGAGATGTTAAAAGAGTGGATGGAGGTAGGGAGATGTTGAAGGAGTGGATGAAGGTGGGGGAGATGTTGAAGGAGTGGATGGAGGTGGGGGAGATGCGGAAGGGGTGGATGGAGGTGGGGGAGATGTGGAAGGAGAGGATGGAGGTGGGGGAGATGCGGAAGGAGAGGATGGAGGTGGGGGAGATGTGGAAGGAGAGGATGGAGGTGGGGAGATGTGGAAGGAGTGGATGGAGGTGGGGGAGATGTGGAAGGAGAGGATGGAGGTGGGGGAGATGCGGAAGGAGAGGATGGATGTGGGGGAGATGTGGAAGGAGAGGATGGAGGTGGGGGAGATGTGGAAGGAGAGGATGGAGGTGGGGAGATGTGGAAGGAGTGGATGGAGGTGGGGGAGATGTGGAAGGAGAGGATGGAGGTGGGGGAGATGTGGAAGGAGAGGATGGAGGTGGGGAGATGTGGAAGGAGTGGATGGAGGTGGGGGAGATGTGGAAGGAGTGGATGGAGGTGCGGAGATGTGGAAGGAGTGGATGGAGGTGGGGGAGATGTGGAAGGAGAGGATGGAGGTGCGGAGATGTGGAAGGAGAGGATGGAGGTGGGGAGATGTGGAAGGAGAGGATGGAGGTGGGGGAGATGTGGAAGGAGAGGATGGAGGTGGGGAGATGTGGAAGGAGTGGATGGAGGTGGGGGAGATGTGGAAGGAGTGGATGGAGGTGCGGAGATGTGGAAGGAGTGGATGGAGGTGGGGGAGATGTGGAAGGAGTGGATGGAGGTGCGGAGATGTGGAAGGAGAGGATGGAGGTGGGGAGATGTGGAAGGAGAGGATGGAGGTGGGGGAGATGTGGAAGGAGTGGATGGAGGTGCGGAGATGTGGAAGGAGTGGATGGAGGTGCGGAGATGTGGAAGGAGTGGATGGAGGTGGGGAGATGTTAAAAGAGTGGATGGAGGTAGGGAGATGTTGAAGGAGTGGATGAAGGTGGGGAGATGTGGAAGGAGAGGATGGAGGTGGGGAGATGTGGAAGGAGAGGATGGATGTGGGGAGATGTGGAAGGAGAGGATGGAGGTGGGGGAGAGGCGGAAGGAGAGGATGGAGGTGGGGAGATGTGGAAGGAGAGGATGGAGGTGGGGAGATGTGGAAGGAGAGGATGGATGTGGGGAGATGTGGAAGGAGAGGATGGAGGTGGGGGAGAGGCGGAAGGAGAGGATGGAGGTGGGGAGATGTGGAAGGAGAGGATGGAGGTGGGGAGATGTGGAAGGAGTGGATGGAGGTGGGGAGATGTGGAAGGAGAGGATGGAGGTGGGGAGATGTGGAAGGAGTGGATGGAGGTGGGGAGATGCGGAAGGAGTGGATGGAGGTGGGGAGATGCGGAAGGAGTGGATGGAGGTGGGGAGATGTGGAAGGAGAGGATGGAGGTGGGGAGATGTGGAAGGGGTGGATGGAGGTGGGGAGATGCGGAAGGAGAGGATGGAGGTGGGGAGATGTGGAAGGAGAGGATGGATGTAGGGAGATGTGGAAGGAGAGGATGGAGGTGGGGAGATGCGGAAGGAGAGGATGGAGGTGGAGAGATGTGGAAGGAGTGGATGGAGGTGGGGAGATGTGGAAGGAGAGGATGGAGGTGGGGAGATGTGGAAGGTAGAGGATGGAGGTGGGGAGATGTGGAAGGAGAGGATGGAGGTGGGGAGATGTGGAAGGAGAGGATGGAGGTGGGGAGATGTGGAAGGAGTGGATGGAGGTGGGGGAGATGTGGAAGGTAGAGGGTGGAGGTGGGGAGATGTGGAAGGAGAGGATGGAGGTGGGGGAGATGTTGAAGGAGTGGATGGATGTGGGGAGATTTGGAAGGAGAGGATGGATGTGGGGAGATGTTGAAGGAGTGGATGGATGTGGGGAGATGTGGAAGGGGTGGATGGAGATGGGGAGATGTGGAAGGTAGAGGATGGAGGTGGGGAGATGTGGAAGGAGAGGATGGAGGTGGGGAGATGTTGAAGGAGTGGATGGATGTGGGGAGATGTGGAAGGGGTGGATGGAGATGGGGAGATGTGGAAGGTAGAGGATGGAGGTGGGGAGATGCGGAAGGGGTGGATGGAGGTGGGGGAGATGTGGAAGGTAGAGGATGGAGGTGGGGGAGATGTGGAAGGAGAGGATGGAGGTGGGGAGATGTGGAAGGAGAGGATGGAGGTGGGGGAGATGTAGAAGGTAGAGGATGGAGGTGGGGGAGATGTTGAAGGAGAGGATGGAGGTGGGGAGATGTGGAAGGAGTGGATGGAGGTGGGGAGATGTGGAAGGAGAAGATGGAGGTGGGGAGATGTGGAAGGAGAGGATGGATGTGGGGAAAGATGGAAGTAAAGTATAGTTGTGGGGGAGATGTGGAATTGAGAGGATGAATAAATGCTATATTGTTAGATTGTGTATAGGTTTTTATACATTGTCTTAAGGATACTGAATTCAGTTTGAAAGCGATCACTCAGCATCGTCTGACTGTTGCATTTTGAGAAGGTTGTATGTGATGATTGCACGACAGGAAACTGCACAGACGGTTTCATGGTTGGACCACCAAGAACATAATAGATCATAAAAGTCAGCGAAAAACATACCAAGGTTATCAGCAGAACAGGGAGAGATGGTTCATTGAATGGCGCTGACGGGGCTTTTGGACATTTTCTAATTCTCAACTCTATGTGCACCTTATGTTGGTGAGCTGTGTCTACCTCTGTGAATCTATTCTGATATTGTTGAGATGTACTTCTGTGTGTCCTCTATGGCTTGCATATGTTTCCTTTCTGTGCCACGAATACTTCTGTGTGTCCTCTGTGGCTTGCATCTGTTTCCTTTCTGTTACACGAATACTTCTGTGTGTCATCTGTGGCTTGCATCTGTTTCCTTTCTGTTACACGAATACTTCTGTGTGTCCTCTGTGGCTTGCATCTGTTTCCTTTCTGTTACACGAATACTACTGTGTGTCATCTGTGGCTTGCATCTGTTTCCTTTCTGTTACACGAATACTTCTGTGTGTCCTCTGTGGCTTGCATCTGTTTCCTTTCTGTTACACGAATACTACTGTGTGTCATCTGTGGCTTGCATCTGTTTCCTTTCTGTTACACGAATACTACTGTGTGTCATCTGTGGCTTGCATCTGTTTCCTTTCTGTTACATGAAGACGCTCGTGACGCCAACCTCACATCTGAGATAAGTGACCTCAAGTCAAAGATGGAACGAGATATGTCTACTCTCCATCATCTGTTTTCTTCCTCGAACCAGTCAGCCGGTAAAACATGTCATAGCTTGGTTTGTGTACATATATGTCATCCCCAAACCAGTGGTCAGTGTGTACAAATATGTTGTCCCCAAACCATTGGTCAGTGTGTACATATATGTTGTCCCCAGACCAGTGGTCAGTGTGTACAAATATGTTGTCCCAAGACCAGTGGTCAGTGTGTACATATATGTTGTCCCCAAACCAGTGGTCAGTGTGTACATATATGTTGTCCACAAACCATTGGTTAGTGTGTACATATATGTTGTCCCCAGACCAGTGGTCAGTGTGTACAAATATGTTGTCCCAAGACCAGTGGTCAGTGTGTACATATATGTTGTCCCAAAACCAGTGGTCAGTGTGTACATATATGTTGTCCCCAGACCAGTGGTCAGTGTGTACATATATGTTGTCCCAAGACCAGTCGTCAGTGTGTACATATATGTTGTCCCAAAACCAGTGGTCAGTGTGTACATATATCATGTCCCAAAACCAGTTGTTAGTGTGTACAAATATAATGTCCCAAGACCAGTGGTCAGTGTGTACATATATCATGTCCCAAAACCAGTGGTCAGTGTGTACATATATGTTGTCCCCAGACCAGTGGTTAGTGTGTACATATATGTTGTCCCCAGACCAGTGGTTAGTGTGTACATATATGTTGTCCCAAAACCAGTTGTTAGTGTGTACATATAATGTCCCAAGACCAGTGGTCAGTGTGTACATATATCATGTCCCAAAACCAGTGGTTAGTGTGTCCATATATGTTGTCCCAAGACCAGTGGTTAGTGTGTACATATATGTTGTCCCAAGACCAGTGGTTAGTGTGTCAATATATGCTGTCCCAAGACCAGTGGTTAGTGTGTCCATATATGCTGTCCCAAGACCAGTGGTTAGTGTGTACATATATGTTGTCCCCAGACCCGTGGTCAGTGTGTACATATATGTTGTCCCCAGACCAGTGGTCAGTGTGTACATATATGTTGTCCCCAGACAAGTGGTCAGTGTGTACATATATGTTGTCCCAAGACCAGTGGTTTGTGTGTACATATATGTTGTCCCCAGACCAGTGAATACTCGTATGTACATAAAGACTCCATAAACATCCCCACCGTGAACTCTCCATTAACATCCCTACCTTGTACACTCCATTACCTTCCCTACCTTGTAGACTCCATAACCATCCCCTACTTGTACTCTGCATTAACATCCCTACCTTGTACACTCCATTAACTTCCCTACCTTGTAGACTCCATAACCATCCCCACCTTGTACTCTGCATTAACATCCCTACCTTGTACACTCCATTAACTTCCCTACCTTGTAGACTCCATAACCATCCCCACCTTGTACTCTGCATTAACATCCCTACCTTGTACTCTCCATTAGCATCCCCAACTTGTACTCTCCATTAACATCCCTACCTTGTACTCTCCATTAGCATCCCCACCTTGTACTCTAAATAAGCATCCCCACCTTGTACTCACCATTAACATCCCTACCTTGTACTCTCCATTAGCATCCCCACCTTGTACTCTCCATTAACATCCCTACCTTGTACACTCCATTAACATCCCTACCTTGTACACCCAATTAACATCCCTACCTTGTACACCCAATTAACATCCCTACCTTTTAGACTCCATAAACATTCCTACCTTGTACACCCCATTAACATCCCCTACTTGTACAATCTATTAACATCCCTACCTTGAACACCCAATTAACATCCCTACCTTGTCGACTCCATAACCATCCCCACCTTGTACTCTGCATTAACATCCCTATCTTGTACACTCCATTAACATCCCTACCTTGTACTCTCCATTAGCATCCCTACCTTGTACTCTCCATTAACATCCCTACCTTGTACTCTCCATTAACATCCCTACCTTGTACTCTCCATTAACATCCCTACCTTGTGCTCTCCATTAGCATCCCCACCTTGTACTCTCCATTAACATCCCTACCTTGTACTCTCCATTAACATCCCCACCTTGTACTCTAAATAAGCATCCCCACCTTGTACTCACCATTAACATCCCTACCTTGTACTCTCCATTAGCATCCCCACCTTGTACTCTCCATTAACATCCCTACCTTGTACACTCCATTAACATCCCTACCTTGTACACCCAATTAACATCCCTACCTTGTACACCCAATTAACATCCCTACCTTTTAGACTCCATAAACATTCCTACCTTGTACACCCCATTAACATCCCCTACTTGTACAATCTATTAACATCCCTACCTTGAACACCCAATTAACATCCCTACCTTGTCGACTCCATAACCATCCCCACCTTGTACTCTGCATTAACATCCCTATCTTGTACACTCCATTAACATCCCTACCTTGTACTCTCCATTAGCATCCCCACCTTGTACTCTCCATTAACATCCCTACCTTGTACTCTCCATTAACATCCCTACCTTGTACACTCCATTAACATCCCTTCCTTGTACACCCAATTAACATCCCTACCTTGTACACCCAATTAACATCCCTACCTTGTAGACTCCATAACCATCCCCACCTTGTACAATCTATTAACATCCCTACCTTGTTAAATCTATTAACTTCCCTACCTTGTAGACTCCATAAACATTCCTACCTTGTACAATCTATTAACATCCCTACCTTGTACAATATATTAACTTCCCTACCTTGTACACCCAATTAACATCCCTACCTTGTCGACTCCATAACCATCCCCACTTTGTACTCTCCATTAACATCCCTACCTTGTACTCTCCATTAACATCCCCACCTTGTACTCTCCATTAACTTCCCTACCTTGTACACCCAATTAACATCTCTACCTTGTACTCTCCATTAACATCCCCACCTGGTACTCTCCATTAACATCCCCACCTTGCACACCCAATTAACATCCCTACCTTGTAGACTCCATAACCATCCCGACCTTGTACACTCCATTAACATCCCCACCTTGTACAATCTATTAACATCCCTACCTTGTACAATCTATTAACTTCCCCACCTTGCACACCGAATTAACATCCCTACCTTGTAGACTCCATAAACATTCCGACCTTGTACACCCAATTAACATCCCTACCTTGTAGACTCCATTAACATCCCCACCTTGTACAATCTATAACATCCCTACCTTGTACAATCTATTAACTTCCCTACCTTGTACACCAAATTAACATCCCTACCTTTTAGAATCCATAAACATTCCTACCTTGTACACCCCATTAACATCCCTACCTTGTAGACTCCATAAACATTCCTACCTTGTACACCCCATTAACTTCCCTACCTTGTACACCCAAACAACATCCCTACCTTGTAGACTCCATAACCATCCCCACCTTGTACTCTCCATTAACATCCCTACCTTGTACACTCCATAAACTTCCCTCCTACCTTGTACACCCAATTAAGATCCCTACCTTGTACACCTAATTAACATCTCTACCTTGTACTCTCCATTAACATCCCCACCTGGTACTCTCCATTAACATCCCCACCTTGCACACCCAATTAACATCCCTACCTTGTACACTCCATTAACTTCCCTACCTTGTACACCCAATTAACATCCCTACCTTGTAGACTCCATAAACATTCCTACCTTGTACACCCCATTACCATCCCCACCTTGTACAATCTATTAACATCCCTACCTTGTTAAATCTATTAACTTCCCTACCTTGTACACCAAATTAACATCCCTACCTTTTAGACTCCATAAACATTCCTACCTTGTACACCCCATTAACATCCCCACCTTGTACAATCTATTAACATCCCTACCTTGTACAAGCTATTAACTTTCCTACCTTGTACTCCCAATTAACATCCCTACCTTGTAGACTCCATAAACATTCCTACCTTGTACACTCCATTAACTTCCCTACCTTGTACACCCAAACAACATTCCTACCTTGACGATTACATAAACATTCCTACCTTGTACTCTCCATTAACTTCCCTACCTTGTACACTCCATTAACTTCCCTACCTTGTACACCCAATTAACATCCCCACCTTGTAGACTCCATAACCATCCCCACCTTGTACTCTCCATTAACATCCCTACCTTGTACACTCCATTAACTTCCCTACCTTGTACACCCAAACAACATTCCTACCTTGAAGACTACATAAACATTCCTACCTTGTACACCCCATTAACATCCCCACCTTGTACAATTTATTAACATCCCTACCTTGTTAAATCTATTAACATCCCTACCTTGTACACCCAATTAACATCCCTACCTTTTAGACTCCATAAACATTCCTACCTTGTACACCCCATTAACATCCCCTACTTGTACAATCTATTAACATCCCTACCTTGAACACCCAATTAACATCCCTACCTTGTCGACTCCATAACCATCCCCACCTTGTACTCTGCATTAACATCCCTATCTTGTACACTCCATTAACATCCCTACCTTGTACTCTCCATTAGCATCCCCACCTTGTACTCTCCATTAACATCCCTACCTTGTACTCTCCATTAACATCCCTACCTTGTACACTCCATTAACATCCCTTCCTTGTACACCCAATTAACATCCCTACCTTGTACACCCAATTAACATCCCTACCTTGTAGACTCCATAACCATCCCCACCTTGTACAATCTATTAACATCCCTACCTTGTTAAATCTATTAACTTCCCTACCTTGTAGACTCCATAAACATTCCTACCTTGTACAATCTATTAACATCCCTACCTTGTACAATATATTAACTTCCCTACCTTGTACACCCAATTAACATCCCTACCTTGTCGACTCCATAACCATCCCCACTTTGTACTCTCCATTAACATCCCTACCTTGTACTCTCCATTAACATCCCCACCTTGTACTCTCCATTAACTTCCCTACCTTGTACACCCAATTAACATCTCTACCTTGTACTCTCCATTAACATCCCCACCTGGTACTCTCCATTAACATCCCCACCTTGCACACCCAATTAACATCCCTACCTTGTAGACTCCATAACCATCCCGACCTTGTACACTCCATTAACATCCCCACCTTGTACAATCTATTAACATCCCTACCTTGTACAATCTATTAACTTCCCCACCTTGCACACCGAATTAACATCCCTACCTTGTAGACTCCATAAACATTCCGACCTTGTACACCCAATTAACATCCCTACCTTGTAGACTCCATTAACATCCCCACCTTGTACAATCTATAACATCCCTACCTTGTACAATCTATTAACTTCCCTACCTTGTACACCAAATTAACATCCCTACCTTTTAGAATCCATAAACATTCCTACCTTGTACACCCCATTAACATCCCTACCTTGTAGACTCCATAAACATTCCTACCTTGTACACCCCATTAACTTCCCTACCTTGTACACCCAAACAACATCCCTACCTTGTAGACTCCATAACCATCCCCACCTTGTACTCTCCATTAACATCCCTACCTTGTACACTCCATAAACTTCCCTCCTACCTTGTACACCCAATTAAGATCCCTACCTTGTACACCTAATTAACATCTCTACCTTGTACTCTCCATTAACATCCCCACCTGGTACTCTCCATTAACATCCCCACCTTGCACACCCAATTAACATCCCTACCTTGTACACTCCATTAACTTCCCTACCTTGTACACCCAATTAACATCCCTACCTTGTAGACTCCATAAACATTCCTACCTTGTACACCCCATTACCATCCCCACCTTGTACAATCTATTAACATCCCTACCTTGTTAAATCTATTAACTTCCCTACCTTGTACACCAAATTAACATCCCTACCTTTTAGACTCCATAAACATTCCTACCTTGTACACCCCATTAACATCCCCACCTTGTACAATCTATTAACATCCCTACCTTGTACAAGCTATTAACTTTCCTACCTTGTACTCCCAATTAACATCCCTACCTTGTAGACTCCATAAACATTCCTACCTTGTACACTCCATTAACTTCCCTACCTTGTACACCCAAACAACATTCCTACCTTGACGATTACATAAACATTCCTACCTTGTACTCTCCATTAACTTCCCTACCTTGTACACTCCATTAACTTCCCTACCTTGTACACCCAATTAACATCCCCACCTTGTAGACTCCATAACCATCCCCACCTTGTACTCTCCATTAACATCCCTACCTTGTACACTCCATTAACTTCCCTACCTTGTACACCCAAACAACATTCCTACCTTGAAGACTACATAAACATTCCTACCTTGTACACCCCATTAACATCCCCACCTTGTACAATTTATTAACATCCCTACCTTGTTAAATCTATTAACTTCCCTACCTTGTACACCCAATTAACATCCCTACCTTGTAGACTCCATAAACATTCCTACCTTATACACTCCATTAACATCCCGACCTTATACACTCCATTATATACCTACTCATTGGGATCGCTATTAAGTAAGAGACTTCTTTCTATAGGCATTAAGGTTTTACTTTCCAGTCGGAAACAGGGACGTTGTAATGTCCCAGGGTTTTTATATAATGTCCTGGGTATTTTATTAATATAACTTCCGTTCAGATTGTAACATGTAATGAAATGTAAAATCAAATGAAAAATGTTTTTTTATCATGTTTATATTCCCGAGGGTCGAACTCGCAACCTTCATATCTGTAGCCCAGTGAGTGTACCACGAGGCTACAGATGTGTTGGAAAGCATCACTGGTTTTTAGAATGTCCTTTTCAAGATCCCTACGCCAGCAACAGATATTTTACGCGCGTTTCCTAAGGTTCATGGAAAGTATGTTCGAAACATAAAAATGTTGATAAATGTTGTTTTAAGTTGTTTTTTTCGGTTAATAAGCATTGAAAAACACTTTCCCTCGGTTTTGGTAGACAGAGCATGCCCTGGGGGTCGGGAAAAACCGCGGGGGCTTCGCCCCCTTGTTTTTTCCCTCTCCCCAGGGTTCGCCCTCGCGGTTTTTCCCGACCCCCAGGGCATGCTCTGTCTACCAAAACCGAGGGAAAGTGTTTTCTCCAATACTTAACATCCCGACCTTATACACTCCATTAACATCCCGACCTTATACACTCCATTAACATCCCGACCTTATACACACTATTAACATCCCGACCTTATACACTCCATTAACATCCCGACCTTATACACACTATTAACATCCCGACCTTATACACTCCATTAACATCCCGACCTTATACACACTATTAACATCCCGACCTTATACACACTATTAACAAATCCTACCTTGTATCTAGTATCCTACAAGGAAGATTATAGTAACTCCTCTACCATGTAGTATCTATTAACACCTCAACAAGTCAGGCATAACACCTCAACAAGTCAGGCACAACACCTCAACAAGTCAGGCACAACACCTCAACAAGTCAGGCACAACACCTCAACAAGTCAGGCACAACACCTCAACAAGTCAGGTACAACACCTCAACAAGTCAGGTACAACACCTCAACAAGTCAGGCATAACACCTCAACAAGTCAGGCATAACACCTCAACAAGTCAGGCGTAACACCTCAACAAGTCAGGCAGAACACCTCAACAAGTCAGGCATAACACCTCAACAAGTCAGGCGTAACACCTCAACAAGTCAGGCGTAACACCTCAACAAGTCAGGCGTAACACCTCAACAAGTCAGGCATAACACCTCAACAAGTCAGGCATAACACCTCAACACGTCAGGCACAACACCTCAACAAGTCAGGCACAACACCTCAACAAGTCAGGTACAACACCTCAACAAGTCAGGTACAACACCTCAACAAGTCAGGCACAACACCTCAACAAGTCAGGCATAACACCTCAACAAGTCAGGCACAACACCTCAACAAGTCAGGAACAACACCTCAACAAGTCAGGCATAACACCTCAACAAGTCAGGCATAACACCTCAACAAGTCAGGCATAACACCTCAACAAGTCAGGCACAACACCTCAACAAGTCAGGCACAACACCTCAACAAGTCAGGCACAACACCTCAACATGTCAGGCACAACACCTCAACACGTCAGGCACAACACCTCAACAAGTCAGGCACAACACCTCAACAAGTCAGGCGTAACACCTCAACAAGTCAGGCATAACACCTCAACAAGTCAGGTACAACACCTCAAACACGTAGGCTCTATCAAGGCCTGCTCTGTTTACCCCTTGTTTCTGTGGTTTAGTCTGCCCCAAACCTCCCCAAGTAGACAACGCTGATGTCGCTGTCAGCGAAGTTGGAAGTTCTGTAGAGTATACATGCAAGTCGTCGTTCACATTGTGTGGAACGGCAAAAGTAGGGTGCTTCACTTCTGGGCGGTGGGAGGACACCCGATTCACCTGTGAGCAAAGCCAGTGGAACAAGTTGGTGAGTTAACTGGAGTGAATGATGACACCTTGTGCGTTACACTGGGTGAATGAAGACACCTGGTGAGTTACCTGGAGTTAGTTAAGACACCTGGTGAGTTACCTGGTGTGAATGAAGACACCTGGTGAGTTACCTGGTGTGAATGAAGACACCTGGTGAGTTACCTGGTGTGAATGAAGACACCTTGTGAGTTACCTGGTGTGAATGAAGACACCTGGTGAGTTACCTGGTGTGAATGAAGACACCTGGTGAGTTACCTGGTGTGAATGAAGACACCTTGTGAGTTACCTGGTGTGAATGAAGACACCTGGTGAGTTACCTGGTGTGAATGAAGACACCTGGTGAGTTACCTGGTGTGAATGAAGACACCTGGTGAGTTACCTGGAGTGAATGAAGACACCTGGTGAGTTACCTGGTGTGAATGAAGACACCTGGTGAGTTACCTGGAGTGAATGAAGACACCTGGTGAGTTACCTGGAGTGAATGAAGACACCTGGTGAGTTACCTGGTGTGAATGAAGACACCTGGTGAGTTACCTGGTGTGAATGAAGACACCTGGTGAGTTACCTGGAGTGAATGAAGACACCTGGTGAGTTACCTGGAGTGAATGAAGACACCTGGTGAGTTACCTGAGTCTATTAAGACACCTTGTAAGTTACCGGGAGTGAATGAAGACCTGTGCCACCTGCACAAAGCCATCTCAAATCTATGGACGATGGTTTCTTCTGCAATTGGCCCTGGTTATTTTGCTTGCATGTTTGAAAGCATGTTTGCGAGTGAGTGAGTGAGTTTGGTTTAACGCCGCGTTGAACAGTATTCATTCCAGTTCTATCACGGCGTGTCAGTGAGTGAGTGAGTAAGTTTGGTTTAACGCCGCTTTGAACAGTATATCAGATGCACCACGGCGTGTCAGCTTAAAATGGGTTTTCTGACATGTATGTATGTGACCCTGTGCGATCATGTTGTTCGACATCTACTATATACAAGACGTGATGTCCTTCCAAATGAAACCACGACCTGCAACAAATGTTGCCGCAGCCATCTTACTGAGTTCCCCCCACGTGACCGCACGCCTTTATACCACGTGACCTCACGCCTTTATACCACGTGACCTCACGCCTTTATACCACGTGACCTCACGCCATTATATCATGTGACTATTTTCTGCTATCGTCTTTCTACAAGGGAGGCCCTAAGAATGTGCCTGTTCCGAGTTGCTTCAAGACAGGGAAGATCAACATAGCTGGGACACCAACAGAAAACACGGGGTACGTATCACCAACAGAGGGAGCTGACGTCATGCGTGAATATGCCGACATCATGAGTCTGTGGTATCTTTCATGCATGCTTGACACGCGGCAATGAAAGGCCCAGGGCCCCGTTACACAAAGCTGTCGTAAGGCTAAGGTAGTCGTACCTCCCATACTTTAATACAGGCGTACGACAGTCGTTACACAAAGCTGTAGTTAGGCTAAGGAAGTCGAACCTCCCATACTTTAATACAGGCGTACGACAGTCGTTACACAAAGCTGTCGTGAGGCTAAGGTAGTCGTGCCTCCCATACTTTAATACAGGCGTACGACAGTCGTTACACAAAGCTGTCGTGAGGCTAAGGTAGTCGTACCTCCCATACTTTAATACAGGCGTACGACAGTCGTTACACAAAGCTGTCGTGAGGCTAAGGTAGTCGCACCTCCCATACTTTAATACAGGCGTACGACAGTCGTTACACAAAGCTGTCGTTAGGTTAAGGTAGTCGTACCTCCCATACTTTAATACAGGCGTACGACAGTCGTTACACAAAGCTGTCGTGAGGCTAAGGTAGTCGTACCTCCCATACTTTAATACAGGCGTACGACAGTCGTTACACAAAGCTGTCGTGAGGCTAAGGTAGTCGTACCTCCCATACTTTAATACAGGCGTACGACAGTCGTTACACAAAGCTGTCGTGAGGCTAAGGTAGTCGTACCTCCCATACTTTAATACAGGCGTACGACAGTCGTTACACAAAGCTGTCGTGAGGCTAAGGTAGTCGTACCTCCCATACTTTAATACAGGCGTACGACAGTCGTTACACAAAGCTGTCGTGAGGCTAAGGTAGTCGTACCTCCCATACTTTAATACAGGCGTACGACAGTCGTTACACAAAGCTGTCGTGAGGCTAAGGTAGTCGTACCTCCCATACTTTAATACAGGCGTACGACAGTCGTTACACAAAGCGGTCATGAGGCTAAGGTAGTCGTACCTCCCATACTTTAATACAGGCGTACGACAGTCGTTACACAAAGCTGTCGTGAGGCTAAGGTAGTCGTACCTCCCATACTTTAATACAGGCGTACGACAGTCGTTACACAAAGCTGTCGTGAGGCTAAGGTAGTCGTACCTCCCATACTTTAATACAGGCGTACGACAGTCGTTACACAAAGCTGTCGTGAGGCTAAGGTAGTCGCACCTCCCATACTTTAATACAGGCGTACGACAGTCGTTACACAAAGCTGTCGTTAGGCTAAGGTAGTCGTACCTCCCATACTTTAATACAGGCGTACGACAGTCGTTACAGAAAGCTGTCGTTAGGCTAAGGTAGTCGTACCTCCCATACTTTAATACAGGCGTACGACAGTCGTTACACAAAGCTGTCGTTAGGCTAAGGTAGTCGTACCTCCCATACTTTAATACAGGCGTACGACAGTCGTTACACTAATTAAAGCTGTCGTGAGGCTAAGGTAGTCGTACCTCCCATACTTTAATACAGGCGTACGACAGTCGTTACACAAAGCTGTCGTGAGGCTAAGGTAGTCGTACCTCCCATACTTTAATACAGGCGTACGACAGTCGTTACACAAAGCTGTCGTGAGGCTAAGGTAGTCGTACCTCCCATACTTTAATACAGGCGTACGACAGTCGTTACACAAAGCTGTCGTGAGGCTAAGGAAGTCGTACCTCCCATACTTTAATACAGGCGTACGACAGTCGTTACACAAAGCTGTCGTGAGGCTAAGGTAGTCGTACCTCCCATACTTTAATACAGGCGTACGACAGTCCTTACACAAAGCTGTCGTTAGGCTAAGGTAGTCGTACCTCCCATACTTTAATACAGGCGTACGACAGTCGTTACACAAAGCTGTCGTGAGGCTAAGGTAGTCGTACCTCCCATACTTTAATACAGGCGTACGACAGTCGTTACACAAAGCTGTCGTGAGGCTAAGGTAGTCGTACCTCCCATACTTTAATACAGGCGTACGACAGTCGTTACACAAAGCTGTCGTGAGGCTAGGGTAGTCGTACCTCCCATACTTTAATACAGGCGTACGACAGTCGTTACACAAAGCTGTCGTGAGGCTAAGGTAGTCGTACCTCCCATACTTTAATACAGGCGTACGACAGTCGTTACACAAAGCTGTCGTGAGGCTAAGGTACTCGTACCTCCCATACTTTAATACAGGCGTACGACAGTCGTTACACAAAGCTGTCGTTAGGCTAAGGTAGTCGTACCTCCCATACTTTAATACAGGCGTACGACAGTCGTTACACAAAGCTGTCGTTAGGCTAAGGTAGTCGTACCTCCCATACTTTAATACAGGCGTACGACAGTCGTTACACAAAGCGGTCATGAGGCTAAGGTAGTCGTACCTCCCATACTTTAATACAGGCGTACGACAGTCGTTACACAAAGCTGTCGTTAGGCTAAGGTAGTCGTACCTCCCATACTTTAATACAGGCGTACGACAGTCGTTACACAAAGCTGTCGTGAGGCTAAGGTAGTCGTACCTCCCATACTTTAATACAGGCGTACGACAGTCGTTACACAAAGCTGTCGTGAGGCTAAGGTAGTCGTACCTCCCATACTTTAATACAGGCGTACGACAGTCGTTACACAAAGCTGTCGTTAGGCTAAGGTAGTCGTACCTCCCATACTTTAATACAGGCGTACGACAGTCGTTACACAAAGCTGTCGTTAGGCTAAGGTAGTCGTACCTCCCATACTTTAATACAGGCGTATGACAGTCGTTACACTAATTAAAGCTGTCGTGAGGCTAAGGTAGTCGTACCTCCCATACTTTAATACAGGCGTACGACAGTCGTTACACTAATTAAAGCTGTCGTGAGGCTAAGGTAGTCGTACCTCCCATACTTTAGTACAGGCGTACGACAGTCGTTACACAAAGCTGTCGTTAGGCTAAGGTAGTCGTACCTCCCATACTTTAATACAGGCGTACGAAAGTCGTTACACAAAGCTGTCGTGAGGCTAAGGTAGTCGTACCTCCCATACTTTAATACAGGCGTACGACAGTCGTTACACAAAGCTGTCGTTAGGCTAAGGTAGTCGTACCTCCCATACTTTAATACAGGCGTACGACAGTCGTTACACAAAGCTGTCGTGAGGCTAAGGTAGTCGTACCTCCCATACTTTAATACAGGCGTACGACAGTCGTTACACAAAGCTGTCGTTAGGCTAAGGTAGTCGTACCTCCCATACTTTAATACAGGCGTACGACAGTCGTTACACAAAGCTGTCGTTAGGCTAAGGTAGTCGTACCTCCCATACTTTAATACAGGCGTACGACAGTCGTTACACAAAGCTGTCGTTAGGCTAAGGTAGTCGTACCTCCCATACTTTAATACAGGCGTACGACAGTCGTTACACTAATTAAAGCTGTCGTGAGGCTAAGGTAGTCGTACCTCCCATACTTTAATACAGGCGTACGACAGTCGTTACACTAATTAAAGCTGTCGTGAGGCTAAGGTAGTCGTACCTCCCATACTTTAGTACAGGCGTACGACAGTCGTTACACAAAGCTGTCGTTAGGCTAAGGTAGTCGTACCTCCCATACTTTAATACAGGCGTACGAAAGTCGTTACACAAAGCTGTCGTGAGGCTAAGGTAGTCGTACCTCCCATACTTTAATACAGGCGTACGACAGTCGTTACACAAAGCTGTCGTGAGGCTAAGGTAGTCGTACCTCCCATACTTTAATACAGGCGTACGACAGTCGTTACACAAAGCTGTCGTTAGGCTAAGGTAGTCGTACCTCCCATACTTTAATACAGGCGTACGACAGTCGTTACACAAAGCTGTCGTTAGGCTAAGGTAGTCGTACCTCCCATACTTTAATACAGGCGTACGACAGTCGTTACACAAAGCGGTCGTGAGGCTAAGGTAGTCGTACCTCCCATACTTTAATACAGGCGTACGACAGTCGTTACACAAAGCTGTCGTTAGGCTAAGGTAGTCGTACCTCCCATACTTTAATACAGGCGTACGACAGTCGTTACACAAAGCTGTCGTGAGGCTAAGGTAGTCGTACCTCCCATACTTTAATACAGGCGTACGACAGTCGTTACACAAAGCTGTCGTGAGGCTAAGGTAGTCGTGCCTCCCATACTTTAATACAGGCGTACGACAGTCGTTACACAAAGCTGTCGTTAGGCTAAGGTAGTCGTACCTCCCATACTTTAATACAGGCGTACGACAGTCGTTACACAAAGCTGTCGTTAGGCTAAGGTAGTCGTACCTCCCATACTTTAATACAGGCGTACGACAGTCGTTACACAAAGCTGTCGTTAGGCTAAGGTAGTCGTACCTCCCATACTTTAATACAGGCGTACGACAGTCGTTACACTAATTAAAGCTGTCGTGAGGCTAAGGTAGTCGTACCTCCCATACTTTAATACAGGCGTACGACAGTCGTTACACTAATTAAAGCTGTCGTGAGGCTAAGGTAGTCGTACCTCCCATACTTTAATACAGGCGTACGACAGTCGTTACACAAAGCTGTCGTGAGGCTAAGGTAGTCGTACCTCCCATACTTTAATACAGGCGTACGACAGTCGTTACACAAAGCTGTCGTTAGGCTAAGGTAGTCGTACCTCCCATACTTTAATACAGGCGTACGACAGTCGTTACACAAAGCTGTCGTGAGGCTAAGGTAGTCGTACCTCCCATACTTTAATACAGGCGTACGACAGTCGTTACACAAAGCTGTCGTGAGGCTAAGGTAGTCGTACCTCCCATACTTTAATACAGGCGTACGACAGTCGTTACACAAAGCTGTCGTGAGGCTAAGGTAGTCGTACCTCCCATACTTTAATACAGGCGTACGACAGTCGTTACACAAAGCTGTCGTTAGGCTAAGGTAGTCGTACCTCCCATACTTTAATACAGGCGTACGACAGTCGTTACACAAAGCTGTCGTGAGGCTAAGGTAGTCGTACCTCCCATACTTTAATACAGGCGTACGACAGTCGTTACACAAAGCTGTCGTGAGGCTAAGGTAGTCGTACCTCCCATACTTTAATACAGGCGTACGACAGTCGTTACACAAAGCTGTCGTGAGGCTAAGGTAGTCGTACCTCCCATACTTTAATACAGGCGTACGACAGTCGTTACACAAAGCTGTCGTGAGGCTAAGGTAGTCGTACCTCCCATACTTTAATACAGGCGTACGACGGTCGTTACACAAAGCTGTCGTGAGGCTAAGGTAGTCGTACCTCCCATACTTTAATACAGGCGTACGACATTCGTTACACAAAGCTGTCGTGAGGCTAAGGTAGTCGTACCTCCCATACTTTAATACAGGCGTACGACGGTCGTTACACAAAGCTGTCGTGAGGCTAAGGTAGTCGTACCTCCCATACTTTAATACAGGCGTACGACAGTCGTTACACAAAGCTGTCGTTAGGCTAAGGTAGTCGTACCTCCCATACTTTAATACAGGCGTACGACAGTCGTTACACAAAGCTGTCGTTAGGCTAAGGTAGTCGTACCTCCCATACTTTAATACAGGCGTACGACAGTCGTTACACAAAGCTGTCGTGAGGCTAAGGTAGTCGTACCTCCCATACTTTAATACAGGCGTACGACAGTCGTTACACAAAGCTGTCGTGAGGCTAAGGTAGTCGTACCTCCCATACTTTAATACAGGCGTACGACAGTCGTTACACAAAGCGGTCATGAGGCTAAGGTAGTCGTACCTCCCATACTTTAATACAGGCGTACGACAGTCGTTACACAAAGCTGTCGTTAGGCTAAGGTAGTCGTACTTCCCATACTTTAATACAGGCGTACGACAGTCGTTACACAAAGCTGTCGTGAGGCTAAGGTAGTCGTACCTCCCATACTTTAATACAGGCGTACGACAGTCGTTACACAAAGCTGTCGTGAGGCTAAGGTAGTCGCACCTCCCATACTTTAATACAGGCGTACGACAGTCGTTACACAAAGCTGTCGTTAGGCTAAGGTAGTCGTACCTCCCATACTTTAATACAGGCGTACGACAGTCGTTACACAAAGCTGTCGTGAGGCTAAGGTAGTCGTACCTCCCATACTTTAATACAGGCGTACGACAGTCGTTACACAAAGCTGTCGTTAGGCTAAGGTAGTCGTACCTCCCATACTTTAATACAGGCGTACGACAGTCGTTACACAAAGCTGTCGTGAGGCTAAGGTAGTCGTACCTCCCATACTTTAATACAGGCGTACGACAGTCGTTACACAAAGCTGTCGTTAGGCTAAGGTAGTCGTACCTCCCATACTTTAATACAGGCGTACGACAGTCGTAGCAAGACGTCTTGTGTAACGAGACCCAGGTGTAACTGAAAAACTGCCCACAGAAGCAGTGATCTATTTGTAGAAACAGTTATATACTGGCATAATACTCATGAAAGAAATATTATAACACCAATGCCCTTTAAAAAGTGGCCAAATGTAACAAATGTTATATTTGGGATAACACTTTCTCAGTAAAGTACAGATTCTCGTACTTTTTTGGGTTGAGTCCCGTCCGGGATTCGAACCGACACTGCCAGAGTGAGGCGCGTGTGTCACAATTGGCCACTTTCTAAATGGCATTGTGTATTCATAGCTTTCGGTCATGGGAGCCATGCCAATTTACACTTGTCAGAGGGGTCATGTTTGTGGAAGCCTCGGGGGCTGAGTGGGTTAGATCGCTGTCTTTGTGTGCTGGCGACTAGGGGTCTCACTCTGGCAGTGTGGGTTCGAATCCCGGACGGGAAGCTGTACTTTACTGAGAAAGTGTTATCCCAAATATAACATTTGAAAGAAATATTGATAGTGAGTGAGTGAGTTGGGTTTAACGCCGCTTTTAACAGTATTCCAGTTATATCGCGGCGTATCAGCTTAATGTGGGAGGGAAGCCCAAAGTGATGCAGGTCTCAGACGTTTACCACTTTGGTGAAACCCACGATCACGGGTATGGTGCTGACAAACCTAGAAACATAATCGGGGCGAAACGGGATTCGAACCCACAATCATAGGTTTCTGGCGTGCCCAAGGGACGCAACTCTGCACAGCGAATTGCGGCGCCTCAGACGACTGGGCCACCCGTGCCCCCAAATATTGATAGAATCATATCCATTGCATTTACGCCGTTGCCCTGACTATAGCACCTGCTGAACCGACATATTGCCAAACGAAATGTCATTATGGCCGGAATGTATGGACATTATGTGGACACAGCTGGTCTGATGGCTTATGTCACAAGTCGGACAGCTGCAAGTGTGAAAACAACTAGCATGGAGATGTAGAACTAATGGCTTCGCAGGGAACTTAGTGTGAAAAGTGGAACTTTATTTTTAGTGTGTAAATTTTCAACTTTATTTACCAGGATTTAGTGTTTTCTTTGTTTAAATGAGATTGAAGTGAAAAATGCTTATTTGTTGACACCAGTATGGAAGTTGCGCTGAGCAGAGCAAATGGCGATCTCATCTTCTACCACCATATCCGCATCAACACTGTCTTTGGCATTCGCATGAACTGCTTCAACACCTTCACCAGCGGGGTGTGGGAAGGGCAGATGACGAACAACTACTTTCCGTGGGTTAAGGATGTCCCGTTCCAGTATCTGCTGGAGGTGACACCATCCTCGTTTGAGGTAGGAGAGTTCCACAGTCCTCCTAGCGGCCTCCTTGCTGTTAGCGTTAGATTTCTTTTTCTCCAATTTGCAAGCAATCTATTTATTTCTTCTAGCTTTCCCTTTGCATTGATTACCCAGGGTTCACTTAAGTTTGGATTAAACATAATTCCTAATACGTCCTTATTGTGCCATTCTATTTGTAAGTCTTGACATAAACGATCATTGCTACTCGCTTTCGAGCCTATTCATATTGCTTTTGTCTTGTCTACATTACTCTTTAAGTATTAAGAGTGAAGTATTTCATTTCCTGATTTTGAAGTCTTTGAGGTTTGTGGTGAGGGCTGTGACTTACATAGGAGAAATATCTAGGCCCCTCAAAACCCGAATAAAAGAACATCAAAGCTCAGTCTCCAAAGATGACTCTAAATCAGCTCTATCAGACCACATCCGTGACAACCAAGCCACAGCATCCAGTGGGAGAGAGTCACAACCCTCGCCACCAACCTCAAAGACTTCAAGATCAGGAAGCTACAAGAAGCCATCAACATCAAAAGATTTCAGCCCTCAATCAACCGTGACCAAGGCTATTACATACCCCCGGCGTACCATCAACTCATCAAATACCCCAATCAGCCATAATCCCGTTGTTTATATTACTGGCTTCATCCTTTGTTTATGTCACTGACTTCACCGATGATTGTCATCACTACCCTTGTGTGTACATAACAGGCTTCTTCAGGGTCATCACTATTAGGTCCATAGAGATTAGTTAATGTTAGTCTTGTACCTTCTCGAGTTATATCAGCTATTATATAATTGCCATTTTCATCTATTTTAGCGCTAAGAATTGTTATGTCTACATTATTATTAAACATTATAGCAACACCTCTAGCATTGGATTTATATGGCGCAATTATGCTTTGTAGACCCCATTCATTCCTCAAAAGAGTATTATCATTTCTTGAAATGTGAATGTCTTGTAAACAAACAATAGAGACCTTTCTTTTTCTCCAAATATTCAGTACTTCCTTTCTCTTATTTTCATCTGCTAAACCCCTGCAATAAGCCGAAATCACTTATATATATTTTTTAATTTTAGCCATAATCTGCTATTGCAAGTTGTAGTGTACTATTATGAGCTACAACGGGTATTTGATTTCCATAAACTACAGGGAACATTTTCTTTTTATTTGCAGAATAAAAAAAAGAGATGAACAAAGAAATATAAAAGCATTAATACTGGTGTTCCATAGTGGACCAAGGGATCCCCTCCCGTTCCCAGTGACAATTTAAAATATTTCCCCAAAGTGCAAATCTAAAGTATAACCAATACTGGTCGCCTTTCAGTGATCTGAAACAGACCCACATCATATATTTAAATGTTATGTAACATTGCATTATATCTGTGTTGTCAATCTACAAGAGTGAGTGAGTGAGTATGGTTTTACGCCGCTTTTAGCAATATTCCAGCAATATAAGGGCGGGAAACACCAGAAATGGGCTTCACTCATTGTCGGAAATCGAACCCGGGTCTTCGACGTGACGAGCGAACGCTTTAACCGTCAGGCTACCCGACCGCCCCCTCAATCTACAAGATAAATGAAGTATTACAAATTACCAGGCTCTACATTGGCATAGAGGGCATGAATTAAATACAAGAACTCAAAACTCAAAAGTAAACAAGTTCCTCTCTGGCCTAATATTATTAACTTATCATCAGATCAATGCTGAATATAGGATTAAGTCAAATAATATGAAACTAAAATTTAATATTTTGTGGTCAGATTTAGATTTACAAAGTGAACTGAATTCATGTATGATCCACTTCCAACTGCTACAGCTTATCCATGCGCATGCGTGACACAGATCAATATACCGACATTGCACATGTCACGACTTCAACGTGTTATAAGTGTGTATATATATTTTCTGGTATGACTATATTCAGTAATGTATCATTAACTCGACCATAGCATCTAAAGTTCACATTATTGTTTAGTTGATAACCATATACGTCGAAAAGTCAACACACAGAAAGGATAACACTTCCGGCTGTGCAGTTTCGGATAATAACATCCGGTATATGAGCTCGGTCAGCCTATAAATAGTATCGCACGTGTTGTTGTTTATCAACATACACAGTTCATATTGTTGCATCGAGGCTCGCCTTGCAGATCTTGACAGTCAGAAGTGCATCGATTATTGACGATGCTTACAAAGCGTACTAACAGTACTTTCGTTTCATAATAAACATATTACCCCTATCATGTTCTAACAAACGACAGTTCAGCGTGTCTTCTGCACTATTTGAGGCACAAACTAATCGTCCGGTTTGTCTTTGTCTCGGAACTGAATACTCGCTTCAGCTGTCCTCTAAGCCAATAGTCTCCGGGCATCTGAGGAAGAACGTCGGTACTGCAGACGCAAGTCCTTTCCCGCTCTTTCCCTGTAGATTGAGCTGTAAGCTGGCCCGTACGTTGCTCTGTACGTTGCTCTGTAGGGTGCTCTGTAAGTTGCTCTGCACGTTGCTATGTACGTTGCTCTGCACGTTGCTCTGTAAGTTGCTCTGCTCGTTGCTCTGTACGTTGGTCTCTATGGTGCTTTGTACGTTGTCCTGTACGTTGTCCTGTAGATTGAGCTGTACGTTGGCCTGTACGTTGTCCTGTAGATTGAGCTGTGCGTTGTCCTGTAAGTTGTACTGTAGATTGAGTTGTACGTTGGTCTGTGTGTTGTCCTGTAGATTGAGGTGTACGTTGTCCTGTAAGTTGTACTGTAGATTGAGTTGTACGTTGGCCTGTACGTTGTCCTGTAGATTGAGCTGTGCGTTGTCCTGTAAGTTGTACTGTAGATTGAGTTGTACGTTGGTCTGTGTGTTGTCCTGTAGATTGAGGTGTACGTTGGCCTGTACGTTGTTCTGTAGATTGAGCTGTACGTTGTCCTGTACGTTGTCCTGTAGATTGAGCTGTACGTTGTCCTGTACGTTGTCCTGTAGATTGAGCTGTGCATTGGCCTGTACGTTGTCCTGTAGATTGAGCTGTGCGTTGTCCTGTAGATTGAGCTGTACGCTGTCCTGTAGATTGAGCTGTACGTTGCCCTGTACGTTGTCATGTAGATTGAGCTGTACGTTGGTCTGTACATTGTCCCGTAGATTGAGCTGTACGTTGTCCTGTAGATTGAGCTGTACGTTGTCCTGTAGATTGAGCTGTACGTTGTCCTGTAGATTGAGCTGTACGTTGTCCTGTAGATTGAGCTGTACGTTGGTCTGTACATTGTCCTGTAGATTGAGCTGTACGTTGTCCTGTAGATTGAGCTGTACGTTGTCCTGTAGATTGAGCTGTACGTTGGCCTGTACGTTGTCCTGTAGATTGAGCTGTACGTTGTCCTGTAGATTGAGCTGTACGTTGGCCTGTACGTTGTCCTGTAGATTGAGCTGTACGTTGTACTGTACGTTGTCCTGTAGATTGAGCTGTACGTTGTCCTGTACGTTGTCCTGTAGATTGAGCTGTACGTTGTCCTGTACGTTGTCCTGTAGATTGAGCTGTACGTTGTCCTGTACGTTGTCCTGTAGATTGAGCTGTACGTTGGTCTGTACATTGTCCTGTAGATTGAGCTGTACGTTGTCCTGTAGATTGAGCTGTACGTTGTCCTGTAGATTGAGCTGTACGTTGGTCAGTACATTGTCCTGTAGATTGAGCTGTACGTTGTCATGTAGATTGAGCTGTACGTTGTCCTGTAGATTGAGCTGTACGTTGGTCTGTACATTGTCCTGTAGATTGAGCTGTACGTTGTCCTGTAGATTGAGCTGTACGTTGGCCTGTACGTTGTCCTGTAGATTGAGCTGTATGTTGGTCTGTACGTTGTCCTGTAGATTGAGCTGTAAGTTGGTCTGTACGTTGTCCTGTAGATTGAGCTGTACGTTGGCCTGTACGTTGGCCTGTAGATTGAGCTGTACGTTGGCCTGTAGATTGAGCTGTACGTTGTCCTGTAGATTGAGCTGTACGTTGGTCTGTACGTTGTCCTGTAGATTGAGCTGTGCGTTGGCCTGTACGTTGTCCTGTAGATTGAGCTGTGCGTTGTCCTGTAGATTGAGCTGTACGCTGTCCTGTAGATTGAGCTGTACGTTGCCCTGTACGTTGTCATGTAGATTGAGCTGTACGTTGGTCTGTACATTGTCCCGTAGATTGAGCTGTACGTTGTCCTGTAGATTGAGCTGTACGTTGTCCTGTAGATTGAGCTGTACGTTGTCCTGCAGATTGAGCTGTACGTTGGTCTGTACGTTGTCCTGTAGATTGAGCTGTACGTTGTCCTGTAGATTGAGCTGTGCGTTGGTCTGTACGTTGTCCTGTAGATTGAGCTGTACGTTGGCCTGTACGTTGTCCTGTAGATTGAGCTGTACGTTGTCCTGTACGTTGTCCTGTAGATTGAGCTGTACGTTGTTCTGTAGATTGAGCTGTGCGTTGTTTTGTAGATTGACCTGTATGTTGGCCTGTACGTTGTCCTGTAGATTGAGCTGTACGTTGTCCTTTACGTTGTCCTGTACAAGGAGCTGTAGATTTAGCTGTACGCTGGTCTGTACGTTGTCCTGTACATTTAGCTGTACGTTGCTCTCTACGTTGGTCTCTATGTTGCTTTGTACGTTGCTCTATACGTTGTCCTGTAGATTGAACTGTACGCTGGTCTGTACGTTGTCCTGTAGATTGAGCTGTACGTTGGCGATGGCAAGCACATGGTATCTATTCCTCCATCTGTTCTTGTTCCAGGTGTCAGTAGATGGCAAGCACATGCTATCTTTTCCTCCATGTATTCTTGTTCCAGGTGTCATTAGATGGCCGGCACATGCTATCTATTCCTCCATGTATTCTTGTTCTAAGTGTCAGTAGATGGCAAGCACATGCTATCTATTCCTCCATGTGTTCTTGTTCCAGGTGTCAGTAGATGGCAAGCACATGCTATCTATTCCTCCATGTATTCTTGTTCCAGGTGTCAGTAGATGGCCGGCACATGCTATCTATTCCTCCATGTGTTCTTGTTCCAGGTTTCAGTAGATGGCCGGCACATGTTATCTATTCCTCCACGTATTCTTGTTCCAGGTGTCAGTAGATGGGCAGCACATGGTATCTATTCCTCCATGTGTTCTTGTTCAAGGTGTCAGTAGATGGCAAGCATATGGTATCTATTCCTCCATCTGTTCTTGTCCCAGGTGTCAGTAGATGGCCGGCACACGCTATCTATTCCTCCATGTATGCTTGTTCCAGGTGTCAGTAGATGGCAAGCACATGATATCCTTCCCCAACAGATACCCGTCGTTTGTGTTTACAACGCTGGAGGTGCGGCTAGACGTCATTGTTGACAACATATTGTTCACCAAGAACTGAGAGAAAAACATTCACACTGAATAAAAGTGAAAGAAACTTAAGTCGGTTGTTCCTTTTGGGTTAGCATCCCACAATCTTAACAGTGTGTATACAGTTCTGCTTGGAGTGAGTGAGTGAGTATGGTTTTACGCCGCTTTTAGCAATATTCCAGCAATATCATGGTGGGGGATACCAGAAATGGTCTTCACACACTGTACCCATGTCGGGAATCGAACCCAGGTCTTCGGCGTGACGAGCAAACACTTTAACCACTAGGCTACCCGACCACCCCTTCTGCTTGGAGGATCTTGTTTCGATGGAAGAATGTTGGACACGTAATCGGACGTGTATCAAGGTATCTGTTGGGTATCAAGTAATCGGACGTGTATCAAGGTATCTGTAGGGTATCAAGTAATCGGACGCCTATCAAGGTATCTGTAGGGTATCAAGTAATCGGACGCCTATCAAGGTATCTGTAGGGTATCAAGTAATCGGACGTGTATCACGGTATCTGTAGGGTATCAAGTAATCGGACGCCTATCAAGGTATCTGTAGGGTATCAAGTAATCGGACGCCTATCAAGGTATCTGTAGGGTATCAAGTAATCGGACGTGTATCACGGTATCTGTAGGGTATCAAGTAATCGGACGCCTATCAAGGTATCTGTAGGGTATCAAGTAATCGGACGTGTATCACGGTATCTGTAGGGTATCAAGTAATCGGACGTGTATCACGGTATCTGTAGGGTATCCAGTTATCAGACGTGTATCAAGGAATCTGTAGGGTATCCAATAATCAGACGCCTATCAAGGTATCTGTTGGGTATCCAGTTGTTGGACATGTATCAAGGTATTGTAGGGTATCCAGTAATCGGACATGTATCAAGGTATTGTAGGGCATCCAGGTATCGGCACTGTAACAAGGTATCTGTTGGGTATCCAGTTATCGGCTGTTTATCAAGGTATCTGTAGGGTATCCAGTAGTCGGACGTGTATCAAGGTATTGTAGGGTATCCAGTAATCGGACGTGTTTCAAGGTATTGTAGGGTATCTAATAATCAGACTTGTTTCAAGGTATTGTAGGGTATCCAGTAATTGGATGTGTATCAAGGTATTGTAGGGTATCCAGTAATTGGATGTGTATCAAGGTATTGTAGGGTATCCAGTAATCGGACGTGTATCAAGGTATCTGTAGGGTATCCAGTAATCAGACGTGTATCAAGGTATTGTAGGGTATTGTGAGGTTGTTCCCGGTACTGGACAGCTTCGCCCGAACGCAACGGTCCCCAACAGTAGTGTGTGGCTGCATGTGGAATCATAGACTATGACGCGTGATCAAATTTTGATTGTAACCAGTCTCGTTATTGTCCTTGTCAAGTAAACGTCTTGTGTTCGTACCTCTGTGTTGTATATTATGTGGGCCCAAAGACCTTACAGTATCCAATAATCGGACGTGTATCACGGTATCTGTAGGGTATCCAATAATCGGACGTGTATCACGGTATCTGTAGGGTATCCAATAATCGGACGTGTATCACGGTATCTGTAGGGTATCCAATAATCGGACGTGCATCACGGTATCTGTAGGGTATCCAATAATCGGACGTGTATCACGGTATCTGTAGGGTGTCCAGTTATCGGACGTGTATAACGGTATCTGTAGGGTATCCAATAATCGGACGTGCATCACGGTATCTGTAGGGTATCCAATAATCGGACGTGTATCACGGTATCTGTAGGGTATCCAATAATCGGACGTGCATCACGGTATCTGTAGGGTATCCAATAATCGGACGTGTATCACGGTATCTGTAGGGTGTCCAGTTATCGGACGTGCATCAAGGTATATGTAGGGTGTCCAGTTATCGGACGCCTATCAAGGTATCTGTAGGGTATCCAGTTATTGGCAGGGTATCAAGGTATCTGTAGGGAATCCAGTTATTGGCAGGGTATCAAGGTATCTGTAGGGTATCCAGTTATCGGCAGGGTATCAAGGTATCTGTAGGGTATCCAGTTATTGGCAGGGTATCAAGGTATCTGTAGGGTATCCAGTTATTGGCAGGGTATCAAGGTATCTGTAGGGTATCCAGTTATTGGCAGGGTATCAAGGTATCTGTAGGGTATCCAGTTATTGGCAGGGTATCCAGTTCTTAGGGTGTGAATAAGACATATATTGAGACGGCACATTGTCTCACTTGAAAAATTCATGGAATTCAAGTTAATTATATTTGTTCTTGAAAAAAGGTTGATTCAAAAAGGTGACAAACAATTTGAACTTTCTTTGTGTTTAATTCTGATGGCACAAACAGAAATAAGAATATACAACAGCATGTCCTCCACCTGTGATCCCTATCTTTAGGCACAGCAATATTCCATCAGCAATCACTATGTTCATAAACTCTGCAATAACAATATTCCATCAGCAATCACTATGTTCATAAACTCAGCAACAGCAATATTCCATCAGCAATCACTATGTTCATAAACTCAGCAACAGCAATATTCCATCAGCAATCACTATGTTCATAAACTCAGCAACAGCAATATTCCATCAGCAATCACTATGTTCATAAACTCAGCAACAGCAATATTCCATCAGCAATCACTATGTTATGTTCATAAACTCAGCAACAGAAATATTCCATCAGCAATCACTATGTTCACAAACTCAGCAACAGCAATATTCTCCTACAGCAATCACTATGTTCATAAACTCAGCAACAGCAATATTCTCCTACAGCAATCACTGTGTTCATAAACTCAGCAACAGCAATATTCTCCTACAGCAATCACTATGTTCATCAACTCAGCAACAGCAGTATTCTCCTACAGCAATCACTATGTTCATAAACTCAGCAACAGCAATATTCTCCTACAGCAATCACTATGTTCATCAACTCAGCAACAGCAATATTCTCCTACAGCAATCACTATGTTCATAAACTCAGCAACAGCAATATTCTCCTACAGCAATCACTATGTTCATAAACTCAGCAACAGCAATATTCTCCTACAGCAATCACCTCAGATACAGCAGACACCATAAAGACAAAACTCTCACAGACAGGAATGTTTCTGTGGATATCACAGGGCCCATGTCTTACAAGCACTGACAATGAGTTCAAGACAATAACGTTGTTTAGAAGGAGATGCTGCATGAACAGAATCTCTCGATGACGATGAGGAAATAATGGATCATGTCATAAGTGAAACTCGATCCGTGCTGGTCTCGAATTTCACACCAATCTCATTAAAAGCAGATCTTAGTTCTCCCTACCGCTAAACAGAGATCTGAGGACATCCTATTACGGGTCACGTCAGACCGACCTTTGCGCGAACTTTGACGGACCAATGAAATGACCAATCAGAAGGAAGCTTTCTCGTGCTTTACGGCACTAATTTCAAATTGGCGACTATGCTTCGCAACATATTTTGACAAATTCTCGATTACAAACCTAAACAAAAGAACATTCTCGAATGGCTACTAGATGGTCTTGATTGTATGGATTCAGTCGTTAAGCCCGTAACTATCGTTTGGAATACCCCGTGTTAAAGTTTTCGAAATTGCATGATTAGAAATCTCATTCCGACTGTCACTTTCATAATCTGGTAAGCGATGCTCTGATTGGTCGGATGAAAGGTCGTTCTGACGTGACCCCTATTGGGATGTCTTCAGATCTTTGTTTAGCGGTAGCGGGAACCAAAGTCTGATTTTAATGAGATTGGTTTCACACACACAACTACACCAGCCTGACCCATGTTGTATCCTTACTGCCACTCATCCTGAAGCCCTTGTGATCCCCGTGGTTCAGGCCCTGTGTTATCTAAGGTCAAAGCTCTCATATGTTGACTGTTGGTGTGAGAAGCTTGGGGATCTAAGGTTCAGTGACTCCTATCCCCAAAATATAAGCGCAAAAATATTCCAAACACTGGTACAAAAGTTCTGTACAAATATTTGATCAAAATACTGTACACCAGCTGATGAAGCAATCCCGTCCACCATCAACAGGCTGGCCTCATCTTGAGTGAGTGAGTGAGTGAGTTGGGTTTAACGCTGCTTTTAACAGAATTCCAGTTATGTCATGGCCTGTCAGCTAAAGGTGGGAGGAAAGTCTGCTGTCTGCTGTGATGCAGAGCTTAGACTTTTACCACTTCAGTGAAACCCACGAGCACGGGTATGGTGCTGACAAACCTAGAAACATAATCGGGGTGAACCGAGATTCGAACCCACAATCATAGCTTTCGAGGGACGCAACTCTGCACAGCAGATCGCAGCGCTTTAAACAACTGGACCATCCATGCCCTCGGCATCATCTTGGAGTTCATCTTCATCACTTTACAAGGACATTTCTTCAGGATAAGTTATTAATTCATGTTCAAAGTCAATTTTGACCCCCTCAATCTCACAAAGCTAACATTTTTTGGTGAAATAAATAGTCCGAAAATCACTTTCAATGGTTTGCCATCTTGTCAGGTTGAGAAAAAGGTGTCAACATTATGATGATCAGATGACGATGGTTCATGTTGCAGATGGGGTTCTCCTGTCGACAACGACTGCGTATGCCTGGATGTAGCTCCTGCAGAAGGGGCAGCTTCGGTCCAGGTCTGTGATGATCTTGTTCACACAATCTATACACACGTTGGTGTGGGAGCAGGGAGACAACTCTATGTTGCCTTCATTTTCGAAACAAACAGCACACTCATTGTTGGCGTCTTGGTCCCCCCCACCTCGGGTGTCAGACAAGTTCGCTCTTTTCCCATACCGGCTGTCACCATCACCTGGGTCATCTGGGTGGCGACGACGGCGACATGTCGCCCGAGCTCGGCCAGTCTGGTTGTTACCTGCAGAAAAGAAAAATATGATGATGGTCTGTAAACCAGTGGACCACTCTGGGATATGGTGGTCTGTAAACCACTGGACCACTCTGGGATATGGTGGCCTGTAAACCACTGGACCACTCTGGGATATGGTGGCCTGTAAACCACTGGACCACTCTGGGATAAGGTGGCCTGTAAACCAGTGGACCACTCCGGGGCATGTTGGGGAGAGTCCCAGAATTTTAATCACAGGTTCGACTTTGAAAACAATGTATATTAAATTTGTATATTCAAGTCACTTACATAAATATCAGTTACAATTACTCTCACCATTACAGTGAGTGAGTGAGTGAGTGAGTGAGTGAGTGAGTGAGTGAGTGAGTGAGTGAGAGAGTATGCTTTCAGCAATATTCAAGCAATATCACAGCAGGGAACACCAGAAATGGGCTTCACACATTGTATGTGGGGAATTGAACTTGGGTCTTTGGCATGATGAGCGAACGCTTTAACCACTACGCTACCCCACCATCCCTCTCATCGCTAAAATCACTGTAACACTGGAAGCGATTGTAACACTGAGAGTGATTGTAATGGTGAAAGTGATTTTAACACTTCGAGTGATTGTATTGGTGAGGTGAGGTGAAATTGGGTTTAACGTCGCTTCCAATATTATTGCGCTTATATAGCGACGTGCATGCACGTGTATGTGTGTGTGTGGCTGCTTGTACTAGTACAAACTAATGCCGATTTATAGTGCTAGCCCACTGAAATACCATGCCACAGTTTAGCATGAATATCCCACTCAGACACAGTATACTGACTCAGAGCCAACAAGTCCTTGTTTTAGCCCCTTAATGCTGAGTGCCAGACAGGGTAGCAACAAGTACCATCTTTTAACATATTTTGGTATGACGTGGCTTGGGATTGAAACCTGGACCATCCGCTCTCCGGACGGACGCTCTACCACAAGACCATGGAGGCAGTCTGATTGTAATGGTGAGAGTTACAATCACTGTCACAGTTACAGTAACACTCACTGTTACAATCACTCATAGTGTTACAATCCCTGTCACTGGCATGGTTACTTTCACAGTAATTGTTACAATCACTCTCACAACCTCACACCTGAGTGATATCCTGAGTCTGGCTGTGCGTGCCACTCGCCCCTCGTCTCAGCAAACCCGTCTCCTATCGCGCCACACTGCTGCAAACTGCGACGGATGAAGTAGATGGCAGCTGCCAAGGTCACCACCAGGGGGACAGCAGTCACCAGCGTTCCCAGCATCCTTCAGTGTACACCAGGTGCTCACTACTTTACTTCAACACAGTAAACACCTGCAAACACAGAGTAAACATCTGCAAACACAGAGTAAACACTTGCAGACACACAGTAAACACTTGCAGACACACAGTAAACACTTGCAGACACACAGTAAACACTTGCAGACACACAGTAAACACTTGCAGACACACAGTAAACACTTGCAAACACACAGTAAACACCTGCAAACACAGAGTAAACACCTGCAAACATACATCATGCTTCTTGTATATATCTACTTGTACAGCAAACACATGACGTAGTATACATCATGCTTCTTGTATATATCTACTTGTACAGCAAACACAAGACGTAGTATACATCATGCTTCTTGTATATATCTACTTGTACAGCAAACACATGACGTAGTATACATCATGCTTGATATATTGGGAGTACATATTTTATTTATCATTGGATTATGGGTCTTCGGACATCAAACATTTTCGGAGGGCCCTGTTTATCACAATTACTCGGGCCAAAATGTGGGGTGTAGTGTCACACAGACATTGTAAATACTCAGATGATGACTTGTTTTCAAGATAAAGTTGTCTTTCATAGGCTAGTAGGATGTTTTACAGTTATTCATGTAATTAGCGAGAAAAACAGCTTTTTTTTCTTAAGCTTCCGAATGCCCATAATAGGGATTCTGACCGATGAGTTCCTGTGCTGAGTAGTCTACAAACAGACCATATCATATTCAGGCAACAATGCAGTTTACTGGGCGTAGGCCGAGCTCTACCATCTTGCTTAATTACCGCGCTATAGCTTGACCGCTGTCTCACTATACTGTTACCATGGCTCACGCTCCAGTGACACTCGCTTCACGATCTAACACCTATTTTCGGTCTTAGGAAAACTTACATGTCTTTACGATTTAACACCCCTTTTCGGTCTTAGGGAAACTTACACATCTTATCATCCAACACCCCTTTTCGGTCCTTAGGGTTAGCTTGCATAGGGCAAGGGTAGGCCATCAATTCTTAACTTTTCAAGCGTTAATCCGGTTAATCCGATTGGTCCATCATGTTGACATAAACAGTGGTGGGTGTGGTTTCAAGAAAAGATGAATGGGAGGGCGGACCGTGACGTCACACGCATGCGCAAGCCATTGTTTACTTAATTGGGCATGTGTGTTAATGGGGTGCTAATGACCCGTTAAGCGAGCACTGATTACATGTGATAGCGGTCGTGGTCCAGTGGTAGAGCGTTGGCCAATTCACACACTAACTAGCCAAGCCGGTGAGTCTGCGAAGCTCGTTCTAGCCCCTACAGTGCTAATTGGATCTGAAAAAGTGTGATAAAGTGCACTACTCCCCATATTCATGTGGATCAAGGCCTAGATCTATCTCCAGTTCACAGCCAGAACATGTTTTGTTTATTTATCTTTACATTCATTTATTCTATAAAGTGTATACATATGGGTTATGGCTAAAACAGCACCTCAGCAAAACGGCACCTGGCGAAAATGTCACCTCGCCTCAAGCGAAAACGGCTACTATTGCCTGGGGAAAACGGCACCCAATTTTTTTTTACCTTGGTAAAAATAAATGAAATTAAACTTACATGGTCGCTTGCAAACACCAATAATTGTGAAATGTTAAAACAAGTTTACATTGGAAATTAGCCTCCACTCCAACTATATTCCTACTTAGGCTATACGCAACTCAACTTATTGTGAAAACATAACATGCCTTGAAGTAAAATAAATGAAATTAAAATCACATCATCTCTTACAAACACCAATAATAGAGAAATGTTAAAACAAATTTACATAAGAAATTAGCCCCCTACTCCAATTTACTCGCCGACTCTGATTGGGAGGCGCAAGTAACTTCTTGTGAAAACATTAATATTATATGCTTTGAAGTAAAATAAATGAAATTAAACTTACATCGTCTCTTACAAACACCAATAACTGTGAAAAGATCAAACAAGTTTACATTAGAAATTAGCCCCCTGAGTCAGCTACTATCACAATACTCGGTGGTACATGGGCCGATATTGTAAACTGTGATGAAGATGAAAACTGTGAAGAACTGTATATATGTGAATGTATGTAGTTATCTGTGAACAACTGGAAAACAGGAAATAACATGTAAATACATCTAATATTATGTAACGAAAAGCATAAATCAGATATACTACAACATAAATCGTTCTTATCGTTATTCAAAACAGAGGTGCCGTTTTCGCCCGTCACATAGTAGCCGTTTTCGCCAGAGAAATCGGTGACGTTTTAGCCTGCACCCCCCATACATATTACACGAAACACAGACAGACATGATTACCATTTCAGACAACGTAATAGACACAGTCTCCGTCTCCCACTATCTCCAGAGCCACTTCTGTTGACTTGCTGTGTTGTGACTTTCAGGGATCAGCTAGTACCGAGTTCTTGTGTCGTTACTGAAGAACATTCAACGATGCAGTCTTAATAGAACTTATCACCCCTAAGAATTATTTTTGAATTATGAGTTTAGGTACAGAGTTACTCTTTTTTGCATGATAATATCAATTCAGAATAAATTTGATTAGCAGTTGGGCGATTGAATATTACAACAACTTAAGCTCCCCCGAGCGTAGATTACAAGCTCCTTACCAGCGCGTGACACCTTCCTCATCCAAGCTCCTCACAGCGATAGCCCGTTCGCGGAGCTCTACCGAGAGTGTAACGAAGGTGTCACGCGCTGGGAAGGAGCTTGCTTCCTCACCCTCCCCTAATATAGTTCATTGAACATGGTATCGCTGTGAGGAGCTTATGTAGATTCAAGCTCCTTCCCAGCGCGTGACACCTTCGTTACACTCTCGGTAACATCGCTGCCACCAGTGTGGGCGCGGCCATTACAAGAATCTTGAAATTTGCCCTCTAACCCCAAATGTAGTAACGTTTATACTTTTGTTTATGTCTTTGGGAATGCCATCATATTTCAATTTGAAAAGGTTTACGACTGACCATGTTTTCCAGATGAATTTACTTTGTTGTTTTGATAATCAGATTGGTTCGAGATTGCAGACTAACGGAAAACCAACCAACTTCTCCCTTACATTCTTACTATATCAATAACACGATAGTTTTAATGAAACAGAAATTCAAATTGACAAACGAAGAAAGTAATTTAGCAGCTATAAGTGTATTCGGCGTCACGACAGTCGTCACTTGTTTGTAAACATAACAGTCATTCGGTTGCGAGTTCAACTCCAAGCATGGTTGTGGCCACCTATTCACAGTGGGGAGTTTTGACTTGTGGCAGCGATAGTATAGAGAGCTCCGGGAACGTACTATCCCCTGTGAAGAGCTTGATGTAGATTCCGGCAAGGGGCACAACTCTCGGATATAAACACAAGCACGTGCTACATAATGGTATTGCAACGATAGAAAACACAGAAAGATGCCAAGCAGGAGTCTTTAATGATGGACAGCAGTATCACTTTGAATCTTGCAGGAACAAATCTCCAAGTCGGCGACGGCTCCTCCCAGATCAAATCGAAAATCACTGGAAATCGGGTAGGTTATGCTATTAGTTCTTACATTTCATAGATTTGATCGGGAATTGAAAGTCCGGCCGTGAGTAAGGATTGGGGGAGTCTGAGATATTATACTTCCAGTGTTTAACCTATTTTGTACGGGATGCGGTGAATTCGTAGACACCGCCAACTCTAAGACACAATTTTCAGGGAACTCGTTGACAAACTGGGAGTGGATTCGTTGACATATTTTGAGATAGGCCTAATGGAATTGAATGATAATACGTAATACCATGAATATTATTAATATTTTGCGTGATATTGACGTGTGTTTCATTTACCACAACAACAGTTTTTGTTGTAGAAGAAGGCATACGATTGGCTGAAAAACATATTTAAACTGGTTGAAAGGTTTTGTTGATAAGTTTCTGAGATTTTCTTTTGCGGGTTCTTTGGTGAATAAAGTGTTAGGTAAAAAACATGTAAGTGCAGCCGGGAGGTGGTGCTAACCTCTCATAACCCCCTAGTACTCGTTATATATAAAAATACATTTTCATCCATTTTCACCATCACTTCATGTTGTAGTGGCCATAAAATTTCCGTGTCCCGTGATGGGATTCGAACCACGGACCTTCTGAATCTGATCAGAAGTCGGACGCCTTGTCCACATGACCAAAGAGGTTAACACCGTCAGCAAGCTGGCCGCATGGTAGGGTACTGAGACTTATTTTGCTCAAACTTAATATGAACGTGCTCAGCCCCACGTTGGGCGCCAATGTAGCGGCCATAAAATTTCCGAGTCCTGTGATGGGAATCGAACCACGGACCTTCTGATCAGAAGTCGGACGCCTTGTCCACATGACCAAAGAGGTTAACACCATCAGCAGGCTGACAAGGTAAGGATGTCATCTGTGGGATGACTCCACGCCCTGCTACATTTTGTTCATTATATGTGGTCCTTGTCTGCAGTTGAATGTCAGCCAACTAACATCAACCTTGATACCCTTTTGCAGCCTCTGTGATTTCTCCAGCTTCACCTGGACTCCCCCCATCTATTTTTAGATATGTCCACCACTTCATGTCACTGTGAAGCATCTTGACTTCCTTAAATACCTGTCAGATACTACCTGTCTCCTGATTGGCCCTTTGGTCCACTTCTTTAAAGGGGCACTGATCTAAAGCAATTCCCCGGGACTGGTTGTTGCCTTTGTTTGTGTTTTTTTCCCCGGTGAGTACCCGGATGATATAGAAGAAATCTAGCCTAATGCACCATTCATAGACGCATTTGTCACTTTGATTGATAGAGGAAGAGCGTATGGTCACATTGATCAACAAAATTAAATGCTAAAAAAATGTAGGTGTCTTTGTGGGTAGGATCAGTAATGGTGACAAAGTTTTCATAAGTCACTTGCATGGTAATTGTGCGATTTTCATTTACACTGTTTTGACTTGCAACACAGAGTAAATATTTTCACCTGAGCATTGCTTATTTTTTACCATGTTTATGTTTTTACTGTCAAAATGTGTGAAATTTTCACTCAGGAAATTTATTAAACGCCTAAATATTTTACAAATTGACTGACAAATATGTCCATCTGTATTATTATGATAGCAATTATTTATGTTTAATATCACCAAGTGGCGGAAAATGTTAGGATTAAAAGTACATTTCTATATTGCTTGGCTTCTAATCTTAGTATAATTGATCTATTGAGATGTTTTTAAGCCCTTTTGACCGTTTTAATCATTTTTAGTCAATCTGTTAAATAAATGGACAGATTTTTCAGTCAGTTTGTGAAATGATTTAGATATTTAGACATTTTATAAATTGCCTGAGTGAATCACATTTTACACATTGACTGGCAGCTTCCTTGTTCGAGGAATGTATCCGTGAATATCCATATAAAGGATCAATATCCCACACGTCTGCAGCTGTACAAAGAAACTTATTCGATGTCATGTGTCTCTGTAACAATCAGGGATTTCAAAATATATATGTCGTTTGGGTATATTATAACCCTTGTTTGTTTCTCAACTGATCACTTAGATTGTTTCAGGTGTTTCACATAGGTGTCAAGTCTCAAGGGTCAGCTGAGAAACCCCACGGACAACTATTTTCATAAAAAAATCCTTGAGTTAGATAACAATGAGCACTCAATCAACGTATAATCGGTTAACCCTTTGAACAAAGTATGTTGTTTTTACATCGGCTCTCCACGCTTTGCTTTAGTAAACCTACACATGTAATCAATCAACCTATTTTCTGTTTTTCCTTTGATGGCTAGGAATGATCCGTTGATTTATAAAAAAGTAAATCAACTCATCATTCATCTCTTGCTGGGCTGCCATGTGCATATTGCAGAACACACATTTCACCTCACATCAAACCTGGATTGAGATTGAATAATTACCCCAGACACAAGAAATGCCAAATGGGAACCTTTGTCAGATAATCTGAGTGGTGCTACCACTAATTATACCTGTAATAAATTCATTAACTGAGAATCAAGTAAATGACAACAAATACACAAGTGTAGGGTTATACCAGAAAACATGGATGACAACAAGGGAGTAGTATTATCGATGCAATCCAAAATAAAAAAAATCCTTTCACTGCAGGGATAATTCTTTTTATTATTAAACTATAACCATCAGGGGTATTTCCAAATAAAGAAATCTGATGAGCTTCCGTCGTTCTTTTTGTTTGTTAAGGCTGAAGATATTAATTAACATGCACCTTTTGTTGAAATCTTCATAGATCTAGGGTAACCAATCAGTGTTTATAGATCACAGGTAACCAATCAGTGTTCAAAAATGTGTAAAACAAATATTGCCTCCAAGTTTATTTAGCTGTCCTTGCAGATGGTAGCCCAGTTACGTTAGCGAACAAATCGACTCAAGGCAGCTGGTGAGCCCGAGCAGCCAGTGTCAGACAGCCGAGAAGAACCTAGACATTAGGGGAGTTGGGAGTGTCCACGAATTCTCCATGGCTACAAATTAGTGAGAGAGAGAGAATATTGTTTATTAAAGTGTCACATGTTATATACACTTCGTGATAGGATATATACAAAACAGTAAAATATAACATCCGGCCAAATATGGCCTACAAGACACTATAAAACGTATTAGTTTGGTTACAAATCCACCTAGAGCCCATTGTACTATACACAAGTGTGTTTTCACTTGTGAAATAGATTGTCCTAATTGTGATGTGTTTGAAGGTGAAACGAATAAAAGGTCGACGGCAACTGAAAAGAAAGCAGAGGAAGTTTAAGGACTCAGGTGAAGGAGGCTCAGGGGACACCAGTGATGGGGAGGGCGTGGCAGGGTCCGAGTCAGCTGACACAAGGGAGGCAGTAGATACCCAGGGCCAGAAAACAGGTGATGGACGTTCAAGAAAGAGAAAACCACAGGGAGACAATATCGGAAATGTTTTGAAGAAGACGAAGAGTGGACATAGTGGGCAGATCGTTTCATCGTTGTTCAGATACAATCCAGATATACCAAAAGTTGCCAGGTATGTTGATGTCTGTCTGACACACTAAGGCTTAGAAAAATAAAAGAATTGGTTCTCAGGCAATGTTTTTTTTTAAAATTTAGTGCGAGCGGGCAGTCGTTTTTATTTTGTGGTTGTTCAAACTAGTATCTAACCAAATAATCAGTTGTGTAACCAAATAAACAAATGTGAACAATTGTTTACAATCAACCCAGGAAAGGCATCCCTGCATAAATGTATTCCTTGATGAGTAAAATACTTGCAAACAGTATTTGACTACCATTTAACTTGGAATATTTAAGGATTTAAAAAAAAAATCTAAATAAAAACTAATCATGCTGTGAACTTGATGATGCCGGGCGTGGTGTGATGTGTCCAGCCACTGGGCTGCTAGTCAAAACAGGAGGCAGTTCTTGAACATGATGATATTTATTCTTTTGGAGTAGATGGTGGGAGGGAAGCTGTAAACAAGAGTCCTCCCTCCATAAAGAGTTCATGCAGAATATGTTATAATTTAATTTAAGCCAAAAGGAAACAGATTAATTTATAGGGATATGTTGGGGAGCACATGGTTGAAGACCATGTGCTCAATTATTGTAACACAAAATGTGTGAGCTGGCAAACATTTAGATATAACAAATTAAATAATAATGCAATTAAATATATTTTACTTTAATGATAAGCTGTGATACCCTTTCTATGAATATATTTGTTTCCAAAGCAGGATGGAAAGAGATAAGAATATTGAAATGTTTCTCACCTGTAAACAAGAGTCCTCCCTCCATAAAGAGTTCATGCAGAATGCATGAGGAGGGCAGGTGAGAAAGGAAGTTTAAAGAAGTGGACCAAAGGGCCAATCAAAAGAAAGGTAGCATCTGACAGGTATTAAAAGGAAGTCAAGATGCTTCAGTCACATAAAGTGGTGGACATATCTAAAAATAGATAGGGGGAAGTCCAGGTGAAGCTGGAGAAATTACAGAGGCTGCAAAAGGGTATCAGGTTGGTGTTAGTTGGCTGACATTCAACTGCAGACAAGGACAACATATAATGAACACAGAATGAAGTGATGGTGATAATAGATGAACATGTATGTATATATGTATAGAATGAATCTAAGGGGGTTATAAGTGGGTGGTACTTATGTGGCTATAACTCATTCAGAGTTAGCACCACCACCCGGCTACACGGGCGGTGCCTGAGAACCAAGACTTTTTTTTTAGCCTTATATATAGCAGGCAGTGAAGGAAAATCTTCCGCATGTTGACATCCTCAGATGTTTCTGTTGGGGATGCTTAGGTGAAAACACACCACTGACGTTGTAAATTGTGGCAAGGAAATACTCGCTACTGGTGGTATCTTCTGACGGACCATCTGCCTCCAACCAGTTGTGTGGCCTAATGGTGAGAGTGGCTGACTACTGATCAGGAGGTTGTGGGTTTGATTCCCATCATACAGAATGAAACAAATCTTGCCTTCGAATTCAGAACTTTGGAGATTTAAAACACAAAGTCCAACCTTCATCTTACCAGGAGTGAGTGAGTGAGTTGATTAAACATCAGTTTGAACAGTACCCCGGTTATATCATGGTGTGTCAGCTTAATGTGGGAGGAAAGCCCGAAGTGATGCAGGTCTCAGACGTTAACCTCTTTGGTGAAACCCATGAGTTGACAAACCTGCAAACATAAAATCAGTTGGAACCGGGATTTGAACCCTCTGACATAAGTTTCTGGCATGCTCAAGGGGCACAACTCTGCACAGCAAATGACCACATGCCCCCCGTTACTAGGAAAACCTCACAGTAGGGATGAGGTGTTTTGGGGAAAATGTAAAACTTCATCTCGAGAGAAAGTATACTTGGGTCCAATGTCAAGTTGGTTGGTTGGTTGGTTTGTTGTTTAACGCCGCACTCAGCAATATTCCAGCTATATGACAGCGGTCTGTGAATAATCGAGTCTGGACCAGACAATCCAGTGATTGATATCATGAGCATCGATCCACGCAATTACAAGCATGGAGGTGTATAACCCTCACTCCCTTGTCATTCCGGGAGAAAGTATACTTGGGTCCAATGTCAAGTTGGTTGGTTGGTTGGTTTGTTGTTTAACGCCGCACTCAGCAATATTCCAGCTTTATGACGGCGGTCTGTGAATAATCGAGTCTAGACCAGACAATCCAGTGATTGACATCATGAGCATCGATCCACGCAATTACAAGCATGGAGGTGTATAACCCTCACTCCCTTGTCATTCCGGGAGAAAGTATACTTGGGTCCAATGTCAAGTACCAGCATGGAGGTGTATAACCCTCACTCCCTTCACGTGGAGGTGTATAACCCTCACTCCCTTCACGTGGAGGTGTATAACCCTCACTCCCTTCACATGGAGGTGTATAACCCTCACTCCCTACACATGGAGGTGTATAACCCTCACTCCCTTCACATGGAGGTGTATAACCCTCACTCCCTTCACATGGAGGTGTATAACCCTCACTCCCTTCACATGGAGGTGTATAACCCTCACTCCCTTCACGTGGAGGTGTATAACCCTCACACCCTACACATGGAGGTGTATAACCCTCACTCCCTTCACATGGAGGTGTATAACCCTCACACCCTACACATGGAGGTGTATAACCCTCACACCCTACACATGGAGGTGTATAACCCTCACTTCCTTCACATGGAGGTGTATAACCCTCACACCCTACACATGGAGGTGTATAACCCTCACACCCTACACATGGAGGTGTATCACCCTCACTCCCTTCACGTGGAGGTGTATAACCCTCACACCCTACACATGGAGGTGTATAACCCTCACACCCTACACATGGAGGTGTATAACCCTCACTTCCTTCACATGGAGGTGTATAACCCTCACACCCTACACATGGAGGTGTATAACCCTCACACCCTACACATGGAGGTGTATCACCCTCACTCCCTTCACGTGGAGGTGTATAACCCTCACACCCTACACATGGAGGTGTATAACCCTCACACCCTACACATGGAGGTGTATAACCCTCACTTCCTTCACATGGAGGTGTATAACCCTCACACCCTACACATGGAGGTGTATAACCCTCACACCCTACACATGGAGGTGTATAACCCTCACTCCCTACACATGGAGGTGTATAACCCTCACTCCCTACACATGGAGGTGTATAACTCTCACTCCCTTCACATGGAGGTGTATAACCCTCACACCCTACACATGGAGGTGTATAACCCTCACTCCCTTCACATGGAGGTGTATAACCCTCACTTCCTTCACATGGAGGTGTATAACCCTCACTCCCTTCACGTGGAGGTGTATAACCCTCACTCCCTACACATGGAGGTGTATAACCCTCACTTCCTTCACGTGGAGGTGTATAACCCTCACTCCCTTCACGTGGAGGTGTATAACCCTCACTCCCTACACATGGAGGTGTATAACCCTCACTCCCTTCACATGGAGGTGTATAACCCTCACTCCCTACACATGGAGGTGTATAACCCTCACTTCCTACACATGGAGGTGTATAACCCTCACTCCCTACACATGGAGGTGTATAACCCTCACTCCCTTCACATGGAGGTGTATAACCCTCACTCCCTACACATGGAGGTGTATAACCCTCACTCCCTACACATGGAGGTGTATAACCCTCACTCCCTACACATGGAGGTGTATAACCCTCACACCCTACACATGGAGGTGTATAACCCTCACTCCCTACACATGGAGGTGTATAACCCTCACTCCCTACACATGGAGGTGTATAACCCTCACTCCCTACACATGGAGGTGTATAACTCTCACTCCCTTCTCGGTGTTTCTGTTTCAGCTCGCAGGTCACAGAGTGTAAGGAAGCGGTGTTCTCCTCCGACTCCTTCAGTCAGCTGTCTCTCCACCCCCACATGGTGAGATTTTCATCAGGTTGTTAACCATGGTGAGATTGTCATTAGGTTGTTAACCATGGTGAGATTGTCATTAGGTTGTTAACCATTGTGAGGTTGTCATGAGATTGTTAACCATGGTGAGGTTGTCATGAGATTGTTAACCATGGTGAGGTTGTCATGAGATTGTTAACCATGGTGAGGTTGTCATGAGATTTTTAACCTCGGTGAGGTTGTAATTAGGTTGTTAACCACGGTGAGGTTGTCATTAGGTTGTTAACCATGGTGAGGTTGTCATGAGATTGTTAACAATGGTGAGATTGTCATTTGGTTGTTAACCATGGTGAGGTTGTCATTAGGTTGTTAACCATGGTGAGGTTGTCATAAGGTTGTTAACCATGGTGAGGTTGTCATAAGGTTGTTAACAATGGTGAGATTGTCATTTGGTTGTTAACCATGGTGAGGTTGTCATTAGATTGTTAACCATGGTGAGGTTGTCATTAGGTTGTTAACCATGTAGAGGTTGTCATAAGGTTGTTAACCATGGTGAGGTTGTCATGAGATTTTTAACCTTGGTGAGGTTGTCATTAGGTTGTTAACCATGGAGATGTTGTCATTAGGTTGTTAACCATGGTGAGGTTGTCATGAGATTGTTAACAATGGTGAGATTGTCATTTGGTTGTTAACCATGGTGGGGATGTCATTAGGTTGTTAACCATGGTGAGGTTGTCATAAGGTTGTTAACCATGGTGAGGTTGTCATGAGATTGTTTACCATGGTGAGGTTGTCATTAGGTTGTTAACAATGGTGAGATTGTCATTAGGTTGTTAACCATGGTAAGATTGTCATGAGATTGTTAACCATGGTGAGGTTGTCATGAGATTTTTAACCATGGTGAGGTTGTCATTAGGTTGTTAACCATGGTGAGGTTGTCATGAGATTGTTAACAATGGTGAGATTGTCATTTGGTTGTTAACCATGGTGAGGTTGTCATTAGGTTGTTAACCATGGTGAGGTTGTCATAAGGTTGTTAACCATGGTGAGGTTGTCATGAGATTGTTAACAATGGTGAGATTGTCATTTGGTTATCCCCCGCCGGGCCAGAATGGCCGAAGGGGGATTATGTCGTGGCGCAGTCCGTCTGTCCGTCCGTCTGTCCGTTCCACAGAGGGTACTTAGCTTGTGAAATCAACTCCTCCTACAGTTTCCAGAGAATATCCCTGACACACTACACACAAGATGTTGACATGTTGATGATACGCATATCACAGTCCTGTTTCATTTCGACTAATTTTGACAGAGTTACTGCCCCTGTTTTACGGGGCTTCATTTGCCTAATTGTGAGAGAGGGTACTAAGCTTGTGAAATCAACTCCTCCTACAGTTAAAACCTCATGATCTGTACAGTCTACAAACCTCCAAAGACACCAGTTTCTTCTCTTCTTGGTGCAACATATCAACAACACAATGCTTATGTTTTGGAGATTTCAACATTGACATTAGTGACAACACACAGAATTCTGATGCTTAACATTTAGACCAGCATATGTCACAGTACGGTTTTCAACAGCTCATAAAAGGCCCTACAACTGATTATGGAAGTACAATAGACCATGTCTATACTAGAGGAACTCTTCAGGTTGAAGCAGGAACTCTGGAATGTTTCCTCTCAGATCACAAGCCCTTGGTTGTCAGAGTAGTGTAGTACAACTTGGCCTCAGGTAACAACCATTATAAAACAATGTCATTTAGTCTCTGCTGTGAAAATGTCACAATATCTAACTATAGTTAGTTTCCTTGTATAAGGCTTTTGTGGGCAAGCTACATCCTTAAGGCATTAGCATTCAGACTGGATTACTCCCAACAAAATGTTCTGCACAATTTGTTCAAATGCAGTGTTATTTCATAAAATACAAAGAAAATATAAACTTGTTAAAAAAATTCATGTGGAGGATGCTGTGCTCTCAGAACACTCTTGTTAACCAGGATGAGATTGTCATTTGGTTTTTAACCAAGGTGAGATTGTCATTTGGTTTTTAACCATGGTGAGATTGTCATGAGGTGTTGAACATGGTCATATGATTGCTACCATGGTGAGATTGTTGTTAGATTGTTAACATGGTAAGATTGTTGTTAGATTGTTAACATGCTGGGATTGTTGATAGATTGTTAACATGGTGAGATTGTTGTTAGATTGTTAACATGCTGGGATTGTTGATAGAATGTTAACATGGGGAGATTGTTGTTAGATTGTTAACATGGTGAGATTGTTGTTAGATTGTTGTCATGGTGGGATTGTTGATAGAATGTTAACATGGTGAGATTGTTGTTAGTTTGTTAACATAGGGAGATTGTTGTTATGTTGTCAACAGGTACAGACTCTGGAAGAGAGGCTGCAGCTGACTCAGATGACGGCTGTGCAGCAGCAGGCCATTCCCACAATCCTCCAGGGTCAGGACGCACTCGTCAAGTCCCAGACTGGCTCAGGTAGGTCAGGACGCACTCGTCAAGTCCCAGACTGGCTCAGGTAGGTCAGGTCGCACCAATCAAGTCCCAGACTGGCTCAGGTAGGTCAGGTCGCACCAATCAAGTCCCAGACTGGCTCAGGTACGTCAGGTCGCACCAATCAAGTCCCAGACTGGCTCAGGTAGGTCAGGACGCACTCGTCAAGTCCCAGACTGGCTCAGGTACGTCAGGTCGCACCAATCAAGTCCCAGACTGGCTCAGGTACGTCAGGTCGCACCAATCAAGTCCCAGACTGGCTCAGGTACGTCAGGTCGCACCAATCAAGTCCCAGACTGGCTCAGGTACGTCAGGATGCACTCGTCAAGTCACAGACTGGCTCAGGTACGTCAGGACGCACTCGTCAAGTCCCAGACTGGCTCAGGTAGGTCAGGTCGCACCAATCAAGTCCCAGACTGGCTCAGGTAGGTCAGGTCGCACCAATCAAGTCCCAGACTGGCTCAGGTAGGTCAGGACGCACTCGTCAAGTCCCAGACTGGCTCAGGTAGGTCAGGACGCACCAATCAAGTCCCAGACTGGCTCAGGTAGGTCAGGACGCACTCGTCAAGTCCCAGACTGGCTCAGGTAGGTCAGGACGCACCAATCAAGTCCCAGACTGGCTTAGGTAGGTCAGGACGCACCAATCAAGTCCCAGACTGGCTCAGGTAGGTCAGGACGCACCAATCAAGTCCCAGACTGGCTCAGGTAGGTCAGGTCGCACCAATCAAGTCCCAGACTGGCTTAGGTAGGTCAGGACGCACCAATCAAGTCCCAGACTGGCTTAGGTAGGTCAGGACGCACCAATCAAGTCCCAGACTGGCTCAGGTAGGTCAGGACGCACTCATCAAGTCACAGACTGGCTCAGGTACGTCAGGATGCACTCGTCAAGTCACAGACTGGCTCAGGTACGTCAGGACGCACTCGTCAAGTCACAGACTGGCTCAGGGAGGTCAGGACGCACCAATCAAGTCCCAGACTGGCTTAGGTAGGTCAGGATGCACTCATCAAGTCACAGACTGGCTCAGGTACGTCAGGATGCACTCGTCAAGTCACAGACTGGCTCAGGTACGTCAGGACGCACTCGTCAAGTCACAGACTGGCTCAGGGAGGTCAGGACTCTCTCGACAAGTCCCAGACTGGCTCAGGTACGTCAGGACGCACTCGTCAAGTCACAGATTGGCTCAGGTAGGCCACAATTCTACAGGGTCAGGACGCATTCACCAAGACAAGTGGTAATTGACTATGAAAGGATCGCTGCATGTTTCAGGAAAGACGCTGGCCTTTGCCGTTCCGATTGTACAGAAACTGCAGGCCCTGGAACCTGCTATAGTGCGTGCTGATGGGCCGTACGCTATTGTTGTGGTGCCAACACGAGAGGTAAGATGCATAATGGAAGCACGCTACATACAGGGGGATGACCCACAGTTAATGCATATGACAAATGATGGATGTTTGCCAAAGTAGGATTGGAAATGAGATACCAAATGAAACTACTGTAGATTGTGCAGAACAGAGAAATAGGTGATAGCTATGTTTCATCAGATGTGTCGTGTGCTGTGCATCAAGCATTGTTGTGCCTTCTATGGCGTGTATTGTGAGTTTTGTTCAGTGTCATGTGTCATGTCGTGTCGTGTGCCATGTCGTGTCATGTGTGATCTGTCTGTTACAGCTGGCCCAGCAGTGTCTCCAAGTGTTCACGCAGCTGGTCAAGGTAGGGCCTGTAGTTACTCACCAATCAACATCATAAACTTTGTACAATTGATTTCTTTGACTTACTCATTAAGTTTATCTCTCATCTTTGAATTGCAGCCATTTATACGTATTGTTCCCGGTCTTGTGATTGGAGGCGAGAAGAGGAAGGCTGAAAAAGCCAGGTACAGTTGTCGTCACACTCCACTCTGTTGCTATAGTTACTGCCTTGTGTTGCAACTGTAACTCTCCACTCTGTTGCTATACTTACTACCTGGTGTTGCAGCTGTCACACTCCACTCTGTTGCTATACTTACTACCTGCTGTTGCAGCTGTCACACTCCACTCTGTTGCTATAGTTACTACATGTTGTTGCAGCTGTAACACTCCACTCTGTTGCTATAGTTACTGCCTTGTGTTGCAGCTGTAACACTCCACTCTGTTGCTATAGTTACTACCTGGTGTTGCAGCTGTCACACTCTACTCTGTTGCTATAGTTACTACCTGGTGTTGCAGCTGTAACACTCCACTCTGTTGCTATAGTTACATCATGTTGTTGCAGCTGTAACACTCCACTCTGTTGCTATAGTTACTGCCTTGTGTTGCAGCTGTAACACTCCACTCTGTTGCTATAGTTACTACATGTTGTTGCAGCTGTAACACTCCACTCTGTTGCTATAGTTACTGCCTTGTGTTGCAGCTGTAACACTCCACTCTGTTGCTATAGTTACTGCCTTGTGTTGCAGCTGAAACACTCCTCTCTCTGTTGCTATAGTTACTACCTGTTGTTGCAGCTGTAACACTCCATTTTCTGTTGCTATAGTTACTACCTGTTGTTGCAGCTGTAACACTCCATTTTCTGTTGCTATAGTTACTACCTTGTGTTGCAGCTGTAACACTCCACTCTTTTGATATAGAATTTTACTACCTGGCGTTGAAGCTGTAACAGTCCACTCTGTCGGAATAGTTACTACCTTGTGTTGCAGCTGTTACACTCCACTCTTTTGATATAGAACTTAACTACCTGGCGTTGAAGCTGTAACACTCTCTGGTTACAGCATACGCAAGGGCATCAATATCATGGTGTGCACACCAGGCCGGCTGGTGGACCACCTGGAGAACACGGCCAGTCTCAGGGTGGACAGGGTGGAGTTCCTGGTGCTGGATGAGGCAGACAGGTCAGTACATGGTCATGTTGAGGGTAGACAGGGTGGAGTTCCTGGTGCGGGATGAGGCAGACAGGTCAGTACATGGTCATGTTGAGGGTAGACAGGGTGGAGTTCCTGGTGCGGGATGAGGCAGACAGGTCAGTACATGGTCATGTTGAGGGTAGACAGGGTGGAGTTCCTGGTGCGGGATGAGGCAGACAGGTCAGTACAGATTCAGTATCAGGGTGGACAGGGTGGAGTTCCTGGTGCTGGATGAGGCAGACAGGTCAGTACATGGTCATGTTGAGGGTGGACAGGTAGGAGTTCCTGGTGCTGGATGAGGCAGACAGGTCAGTACATGGTCATGTTGAGGGTAGACAGGGTGGAGTTCCTGGTGCGGGATGAGGCAGACAGGTCAGTACATGGTCATGTTGAGGGTGGACAGGTAGGAGTTCCTGGTGCGGGATGAGGCAGACAGGTCAGTACATGGTCATGTTGAGGGTAGACAGGGTGGAGTTCCTGGTGCGGGATGAGGCAGACAGGTCAGTACATGGTCATGTTGAGGGTAGACAGGGTGGAGTTCCTGGTGCGGGATGAGGCAGACAGGTCAGTACAGATTCAGTATCAGGGTGGACAGGGTGGAGTTCCTGGTGCTGGATGAGGCAGACAGGTCAGTACATGGTCATGTTGAGGGTGGACAGGGTGGAGTTCCTGGTGCTGGACGAGGCAGACAGGTCAGTACAGATTCAGTCTGAGGGTGGACAGGGTGGAGCTCCTGGTGCTGGATGAGGCAGACAGGTCAGTACAGATTCAGTCTGAGGGTGGACAGGGTGGAGTTCCTGGTGCTGGATGAGGCAGACAGGTCAGTACAGATTCAGTCTCAGGGTGGACGGGGTGGAGTTCCTGGTGCTGGACGAGGCAGACAGGTCAGTACAGATTCAGTCTGAGGGTGGACTGGGTGGAGTTCCTGGTGCAGGATGAGGCAGACAGGTCAGTACAGATTCAGTTTCAGGGTGGACGGGGTGGAGTTCCTGGTGCTGGATGAGGCAGACAGGTCAGTACAGGGCGAGTCAGGGTAGACAGGGTAGACAGGGTGGGCCATTCTCAGATTGGTGTATTCCAGAAACTGTGGTTTTGTTTGATTTGATATGATGTCTTTATGCCAGAGTTGTTGCTAATGTTTCAGACTTTGTGACCTTGGATATGAAAAACACATTGCCCAGATTGTGACAGCCTTGAACACTCGGAGCAACCATGGCCGCCAGACTATCCTTTTGTCGGCCACACTCTCAGATGGTAACTATCCTCTCTGCCACCTCATTTTCATCATTCTGTGTTTCTGTTTTCAGCTGTTGGGAGGATGTTGTGTTTCTGTCTGCAGGTGTTGAGAGGATGTTGTGTTTCTGTCTGCAGGTGTTCGGGAGGATGTTGTGTTTCTGTCTGCAGGTGTTGAGATGTTGTGTTTCTGTATGCAGGTGTTGAGAGGATGTTGTGTTTCTGTCTGCAGGTGTTCGGGAGGATGTTGTGTTTCTGTCTGCAGGTGTTGAGAGGATGTTGTGTTTCTGTCTGCAGGTGTTGAGAGGATGTTGTGTTTCTGTATGCAGGTGTTTCGAGGATGTTGTGTTTCTGTATGCAGGTGTTGAGATGTTGTGTTTCTGTATGCAGGTGTTGAGAGGATGTTGTGTTTCTGTCTGCAAGTGTTGAGATGTTGTGTTTCTGTCTGCAGGTGTTGAGATGTTGTGTTTCTGTATGCAGGTGTTGAGATGTTGTGTTTCTGTCTGCAGGTGTTGAGAGGATGTTGTGTTTCTGTATGCAGGTGTTGAGATGTTGTGTTTCTGTCTGCAGGTGTTGAGAGGATGTTGTGTTTCTGTATGCAGGTGTTGAGAGGATGTTGTGTTCCTGTATGCAGGTGTTCGGGAGGATGTTGTGTTTCTGTATGCAGGTGTTGAGATGTTGTATTTCTGTCTGCAGGTGTTGAGGGGATGTTGTGTTTCTGTATGCAGGTGTTGAGAGGATGTTGTGTTTCTGTATGCAGGTGTTGAGGGGATGTTGTGTTTCTGTATGCAGGTGTTGAGATGTTGTGTTTCTGTATGCAGGTGTTCGGGAGGATGTTGTGTTTCTGTCTGCAGGTGTTGAGATGTTGTGTTTCTGTATGCAGGTGTTGAGGGGATGTTGTGTTTCTGTATGCAGGTGTTGAGAGGATGTTGTGTTTCTGTCTGCAGGTGTTGAGAGGATGTTGTGTTTCTGTATGCAGGTGTTGAGATGTTGTGTTTCTGTATGCAGGTGTTCGGGAGGATGTTGTGTTTCTGTATGCAGGTGTTGAGATGTTGTGTTTCTGTATGCAGGTGTTGAGATGTTGTGTTTCTGTATGCAGGTGTTGAGAGGATGTTGTGTTTCTGTCTGCAGGTGTTGAGAGGATGTTGTGTTTCTGTATGCAGGTGTTGAGGGGATGTTGTGTTTCTGTATGCAGGTGTTCGGGAGGATGTTGTGTTTCTGTATGCAGGTGTTGAGATGTTGTGTTTCTGTATGCAGGTGTTGAGGGGATGTTGTGTTTCTGTATGCAGGTGTTGAGATGTTGTGTTTCTGTCTGCAGGTGTTGAGGGGATGTTGTGTTTCTGTCTGCAGGTGTTGAGAGGATGTTGTGTTTCTGTCTGCAGGTGTTGAGAGGATGTTGTGTTTCTGTATGCAGGTGTTGAGGGGATGTTGTGTTTCTGTATGCAGGTGTTGAGATGTTGTGTTTTTGTATGCAGGTGTTGAGAGGATGTTGTGTTTCTGTATGCAGGTGTTGAGATGTTGTGTTTCTGTCTGCAGGTGTTGAGGGGATGTTGTGTTTCTGTATGCAGGTGTTGAGAGGATGTTGTGTTTCTGTATGCAGGTGTTGAGATGTTGTGTTTCTGTCTGCAGGTGTTGAGGGGATGTTGTGTTTCTGTCTGCAGGTGTTGAGAGGATGTTGTGTTTCTGTCTGCAGGTGTTGAGAGGATGTTGTGTTTCTGTATGCAGGTGTTGAGATGTTGTGTTTCTGTATGCAGGTGTTGAGGGGATGTTGTGTTTCTGTATGCAGGTGTTGAGAGGATGTTGTGTTTCTGTATGCAGGTGTTGAGAGGATGTTGTGTTTCTGTATGCAGGTGTTGAGATGTTGTGTTTCTGTATGCAGGGGTTGAGGGGATGTTGTGTTTCTGTATGCAGGTGTTGAGATGTTGTGTTTCTGTATGCAGGTGTTGAGATGTTGTGTTTCTGTATGCAGGTGTTGAGATGTTGTGTTTCTGTATGCAGGTGTTGAGATGTTGTGTTTCTGTATGCAGGTGTTGAGAGGATGGCTGGAATATCGATGGAAGACCCAAAGCATATCTCCTTGTCGGACAGACCTGATGCAAACACAACTTCCTCAAGCAGTGGCGCCGCAGAAAGCCATCACAAGGCCGGGGACTCTGGGGACACATTCACAGTTCCACAGAATCTGCAGCAGTATTTCGTCATCACTCCCAGCAAACTGAAGCTTGTGACGCTGGCCGCCTTCATCCTGGGCAAGGTGACCACTGCTACATCACTGTCTGAACATGTCTGAATATGTCTGTACCTGTGACTGGCTCATCCTGTGACAGTTGTTATCTGTAACTATCTGTTCCAACTGTCTGTACCTGTCTGAATATGTCTGTACCTGTGACTGGCTCATCCTGTGACAGTTGTTATCTGTAACTATCTGTTCCAACTGTCTGTACCTGTGACTGTCTACACCTTTGACTGTCTTTTGCAGCTCCGGGGTGGCGGCAGCAAGATGGTTGTGTTCATGGCCACACAGGATGCAGTGGAGTTTCACCATCACCTGTTTACCAAGACACTGAGTGACATCCCCGGGAGAGATGCAGACAACCTCATGTTGTTCAGGTTACATGGAGACATGGAGCAGAAGGTGGGTCAGTGAGGTCAGTGTGAGATGCCGTGTGTGAGGTCAGTGTGAGATGCCATGTGTGAGGTCAGTGTGAGATGCCGTGTGTGAGGTCAGTGTGAGATGCCGTGTGTGACATCCGTGTGAGATGCCGTGTGTGAGGTCAGTGTGAGATGCCGTGTGTGAGGTCAGTGTGAGATGCCGTGTGTGACATCCGTGTGAGATGCCGTGTGTGAGATGCCATGTGTGAGGTCAGTGTGAGATGCCGTGTGTGAGGTCAGTGTGAGATGGCGTGTCTGACATCCGTGTGAGATGCCGTGTGTGAGATGCCATGTGTGAGGTCAGTGTGAGATGCCGTGTGTGAGGTCAGTGTGAGATGCCGTGTGTGACATCCGTGTGAGATGCCGTGTGTGAGGTCAGTGTGAGATGCCATGTGTGAGGTCAGTGTGAGATGCCGTGTGTGAGGTCAGTGTGAGATGCTGTGTGTGACGTCAGTGTGAGATGCCGTGTGTGAGGTCAGTGTGAGATGCCGTGTGTGACATCTGTGTGAGATGCCGTGTGTGAGATGCCATGTGTGAGGTCAGTGTGAGATGCCGTGTGTGAGGTCAGTGTGAGATGGCGTGTCTGACATCCGTGTGAGATGCCGTGTGTGAGATGCCGTGTGTGAGGTCAGTGTGAGATGCCGTGTGTGAGGTCAGTGTGAGATGCCGTGTCTGACATCCGTGTGAGATGCCATGTGTGAGGTCAGTGTGAGATGCCATGTGTGAGGTCAGTGTGAGATGCCGTGTGTGAGGTCAGTGTGAGATGCCGTGTGTGAGGTCAGTGTGAGATGCCATGTGTGAGGTCAGTGTGAGATGCCGTGTGTGAGGTCAGTTTGAGATGCCGTGTGTGAGGTCAGTGTGAGATGCCGTGTGTGAGGTCAGTGTGAGATGCCGTGTGTGAGATGCCATGTGTGAGGTCAGTGTGAGATGCCGTGTGTGACGTCAGTGTGAGATGCCGTGTGTGAGATGCCGTGTGTGGCGTCAGTGTGAGATACCGTGTGTGACGTCAGTGTAAGATGCCATGTGTGAGGTCAGTGTGAGATGCCGTGTGTGTCGTCAGTGTGAGATGCTGTGTGTGACATCAGTGTGAGATGCCGTGTGTAAGGTCAGTGTGAGATGCCGTGTGTGACATCCGTGTGAGATGCCGTGTGTGAGGTCAGTGTGAGATGCCGTGTGTGACGTCAGTGTGAGATCCCGTGTGTGGCGTCAGTGTGAGATGCCGTGTCTGACATCCGTGTGAGATGCCGTGTGTGAGATGCCATGTGTGAGGTCAGGGTGAGATGCCGTGTGTGGCGTCAGTGTCAGATGCCGTGTGTGACGTCAGTGTGAGATGCCGTGTGTGACGTCAGTGTGTGAGATGACCGTGGGTGAGGTGACCGAGATTGAGGTGATGTTAGTGAGGTGACGTGAGTGAGATTGCCTTGATGTCGTGAGTGAGGTGATGTTAGTGAGGTGACCGCGATTGAGGTGACGTTAGTGAGGTGACCGCGATTTAGGTGACGTGAGTGAGATGCCAGGAGTGAGATTGCCTTGATGTCGTGAGTGAGGTGACGTGAGTGTGATTGCCTTGATGTCGTGAGTGAGGTGACGTTAGTGAGGTGACGTGAGTGTGATTGCCTTGATGTCGTGAGTGAGGTGATGTTAGTGAGGTGACAGTGAGTGAGGTGTCTTTGGTGAGATTGCTTTGATGTGATCGAGGGGATGTGAGTGAGGTGACGTGATCTAGGGGATATGAGTGAGTTGACGTGATCTAGGGGATGTGAGTGAGGTGACGTGATCTAGGGGATGTGAGTGAGGTGACGTGATCTAGGGGACGATAAGTGAGGTGATGTGATCGAGGGGATGTGACTGAGGTGATGTGATCTAGGGGCTGTGAATGAGGTGATGTGATCGAGGGGATGAGTGAGGTGATGTGATCGAGGGGCTGTGAGAGATGTGATGTGATCGAGGGGACGATGAGTGAGGTGATGTGATCGAGGGGCTGTGAGTGAGGTGATGTGATCGAGGGGACGTGATTGAGGTGATGTGATCGAGGGGACGTGATCGAGGGGACGTGATTGAGGTGATGTGATCGAGGGGACGTGAGTGAGGTGACGTGATCTAGGGGATGTGAGTGAGGTGACGTGATCTAGGGGACGATAAGTGAGGTGATGTGATCGAGGGGATGTGACTGAGGTGATGTGATCTAGGGGCTGTGAATGAGGTGATGTGATCGAGGGGATGAGTGAGGTGATGTGATCGAGGGGCTGTGAGAGATGTGATGTGATCGAGGGGACGATGAGTGAGGTGATGTGATCGAGGGGCTGTGAGTGAGGTGATGTGATCGAGGGGACGTGATTGAGGTGATGTGATCGAGGGGACGTGATCGAGGGGACGTGATTGAGGTGATGTGATCGAGGGGACGTGAGTGAGGTGACGTGATCGAGGGGACGTGAGTGAGGTGACGTGATCGAGGGGCTGTGAGTGATGTGATGTGATCGAGGGGACGTGAGTGAGGTGATGTGATCGAGGGGACGTGAGTGAGGTGACGTGATCGAGGGGATGTGAGTGAGGTGATGTGATCTAGGGGATGTGAGTGAGGTGATGTGATCGAGGGGCTGTGAGTGAGGTGATGTGATCGAGGGGCTGTGAGTGAGGTGATGTGATCGAGGGGCTGTGAGTGAGGTGACGTGATCTAGGGGACGATTAGTGAGGTGATGTGATCTAGGGGACAATTAGTGATGTGACGTGATCGAGGGGCTGTGAGTGAGGTGACGTGATCTAGGGGACGATGAGTGAAGTGATGTGATCGAGGGGCTGTGAGTGAGGTGATGTGATCGAGGGGACGATGAGTGAAGTGATGTGATCGAGGGGCTGTGAGTGAGGTGATGTGATCTAGGGGCTGTGAGTGATGTGACGTGATCTAGGGGACGATGAGTGAAGTGATGTGATCGAGGGGCTGTGAGTGAGGTGATGTGATCGAGGGGCTGTGAGTGAGGGGACGTGATCGAGGGGCTGTGAGTGAGGTGACGTGATCGAGGGGCTGTGAGTGAGGTGATGTGATCGAGGGGACGTGAGTGAGGTGACGTGATCGAGGGGCTGTGAGTGAGGTGATGTGATCGAGGGGCTGTGAGTGAGGTGATGTGATCGAGGGGCTGTGAGTGAGGTGACGTGATCGAGGGGACGTGAGTGAGGTGATGTGATCGAGGGGCTGTGAGTGAGGTGATGTGATCGAGGGGCTGTGAGTGAGGGGACATGAGTGAGGTGACGTGATTGAGGGGCTGTGAGTGATGTGACGTGATCAAGGGGACGTGAGTGAGGTGATGTGATCGAGGGGCTGTGAGTGAGGTGATGTGATCGAGGGGCTGTGAGTGAGGGGACGTGAGTGAAGTGATGTGATCGAGGGGCTGTGAGTGATGTGACGTGATCTAGGGGACGTGAGTGAGGTGATGTGATCGAGGGGCTGTGAGTGAGTTGATGTGATCGAGGGGCTGTGAGTGAGGTGATGTGATCGAGGGGCTGTGAGTGATGTGACGTGATCTAGGGGACGTAAGTGAGGTGATGTGATCGAGGGGCTGTGAGTGAAGTGACTGATGAGGATGCTCTGCTGTATGTTGCAGGACAGGACAGAGGTGTACCAGACTTTCAGCAAGTCCGACCGTGGAGTCCTACTCTGCACAGTAAGTGGCACTCTGGGATGTATCTGGGCTCTGCCTCTCGGTGAAGGTATCTGTGACAGGTACTTGTTGTGCTGACTGAGACAGATCACATTTCGTGTGGCCCAACTCTCAGTACATAGAGGTTGTCATGTGAGTGTGTTTGGTGATAGTAAATATCCTATATTTGGAATAATCATTGTATTTAGCGAGTCATTCTTCAGTTCTGTGCTTGAAAATCTCTTCTCATCTCTCACAAACATAATCTAAACATTGCAAGTTTTGCTGGAATGTGCACATTAATATACATTACGTCAAAAGGTGATGTGTCAGTCAGACCGTGACAGTAGCCAACATAGTTCCCACTGAAACCTGTTTCTTATACAGTGGCATAACTATATATATGCCTACTGTATTTTCTTGCATATAGTGCACACTTTTTTTCCCCAAAAACACAGCTGTGTAGAAGGGGGTGCGCATTATACACGCCATAATGAGTTTTGATGTTTTACCGTGAGCATGTAACACCGGAAATCCCATGTCAACAAATCCATACTGAAGTATGCCAATTAATCATGTAATTACACTGTCTGGCTATAAAAAGTGTTCATTCGATATCTGGACTTATCTGGACTTATGTTTGAAACTTATTTCATTAATTATTAATTAATCATTAACTCACCGTTATTCACAGCAACCAAGGTCAGATTACCACTATTGAAAATAGTTTCAGATACAATTTTTCCCGATCCTTGCATCAAATTCCTGTAAAGTTTTATCATTGGGTAAGTTTTAACTGAATCATGGGTAGATTCCAAGAAAACGTGTGTACAGCTGATTGCTCTTTCTGGCTTAGTTTGCGAGAAAATACACTTGGTAATCTTAATCCTGAGGTGTAAAAAAGTAATATATAAACGGTAAATCAACATGTCTGGTGATTTTTTATCTCAAATTTCAAATTTGTACTGCCCAAGTTATTTGTGTGTACATAACAGGCTTCTCTACTCCAGTAAAACAATATCTACTCCACTGTATAAACATTGCCTCCTACCTGTATATATACTTGCCAACCACACTCTGTATATCACTTGCTTGATAACGGTGTTAGAACCTACACCGAAACGTTGCTCTTAATTGTAATAAAGAAGTTGTTCATCCATAAATTCTCATCCTTACTGAATTTTTTACTTATCCTGCATTACTCCTTAGTGCATTCACTGCTTACCTTAAGACAAAAGACGGGACAGCGTAACAGCGATGGTCATGGGTGAAGAAATAAACTACTGTATTTCGTAGTCCCATTTTTCGTGACCACCGAGGCTGTCCTAAGATCTTGATGACCTGAGGTCACGTCTCCACATCACTGCCTGTCGCACTACAGCACAGACATGTACCAGTGGAGCTCTTGTTTTGGATTAGTTTTGACCTTCGGTTTCCGTCTACAATTCCAAAATATTCATCTGCCATGGGTGATGTATTCTTTTCATATTACTGTCGCCATGTTGTGCAGTTTTATATGATTTTTTTAGGCGTAAAAAGACCCTGTTTTTTTCCCTGCCACGTGCTGTTTGTTCACCGCCATTTTGAATTGTGTTACCTTTGTTTGCCTGCCAGGGAAGTCAATTTGTTCACAATTCTCAGCTACGTACAACATGTTTATGTGTTCTTAAATACTACTAGCTTTGGCGCCACATTGAGTTGTGTATATACAAATTATTGAATATACTTTCAACTCGCTACAATAGTTTTGCCGATAGATTAATTAAATTCTACGACATTCTTCCAGTCCCGCTTCATCAAAATGTCTTTTTTTGCGTAAGTTTTGCTTGCTCGTTTTGCTAATTGTTGTTGGAAAAAACAAAAACATTCTGCCAAAGATTCTCATTCACTTTGTCTGGCATGCACGCAAATTTGTGCACCAAACTCTAAATGTCTTTTGCGTAAATCTCTCTCCAACAAGCTTTACAACTTATAGGCAGGTTCACTCAAAAACATATTATGCAGCAATCCCGTCGTGAGACTAGGAAGATGTCACAATCGCTGATTAGTGAGGGACAGGGTTCGGCCATTACTGTGCAACCATTATCTTTCGGCAGGTAATATGTCGGCCGTTACTGTCACTGCTGAAGTGCAAGCTCCCCCAATAAACATCAAATCCAGAGGATTGTGTGAGTATCATAACCGACCTTTATTTTCAGCTGCCTGAGACATCTACATATGTGACCCCTGCACCAGTGTCTCAAGATGCTTTGATGGGGGTAGTGCAAATCCAAGCAACGTACCAGCCAACACGATTGAACATTGCGTCTCAGTTAGCCACTCAGGCAACGCAGGATGAGCTTAGTGCCGTACCAACATATCCAGCGCAGCAGATACACGCTCAGGCGTCAACAGCATTACAGAACACTAATTGGATGTAAAAGATATTCCAGCAATAGTATCCTGCGCCCTGGCCTACGTCTGCATCAATTACATCTACGTCACAGGTCTTAGCACCTACGCCAGCGCGTATGTAATGCACCTGTTGTACGTCATTATACACCACATTCATCGTTGAGTAGTGCCAGTATGCCTGCACATACTTGGACATCAACGCATGACTCTTATTCGCCAGGCAGATTATCTAAGCCCTCAGTCAGAGGTAGCACTACACATAGGAGTAGAAGTCGTTCACCATCTTGACGTTCATTGACTTGTCAGACTATTCTAAAGGCGAAGAGAGAGATTCTTCCACAGAATGGAATACTCATTTCAATCTGGCACAAGTACCTGATTGGGTAGTGGATCGCCTCATTTCAGTCTGGCACAAGTACCTGATTGGGTGGTGGATTGCCTCATTTCAGTCTGGCACAAGTACCTGATTGGCTAGTGGATCGCCTCATTTCAGTCTGGCACAAGTACCTGATTGGGTGGTGGATCGCCTCATTTCAGTCTGGCACAAGTACCTGATTGGGTAGTGGATCGCCTCATTTCAGTCTGGCACAAGTACCTGATTGGGTAGTGGATCGCCTCATTTCAGTCTGGCACAAGTACCTGATTGGGTGGTGGATCGCCTCATTTCAGTCTGGCACAAGTACCTGATTGGGTGGTGGATCGCCTCATTTCAGTCTGGCACAAGTACCTGATTGGGTAGTGGATCGCCTCATTTCAGTCTGGCACAAGTACCTGATTGGGTAGTGAATCGCCTCATTTCAGTCTGGCACAAGTACCTGATTGGGTGGTGGATCGCCTCATTTCAGTCTGGCACAAGTACCTGATTGGGTGGTGGATCGCCTCATTTCAGTCTGGCACAAGTACCTGATTGGGTGGTGGATCGCCTCATTTCAGTCTGGCACAAGTACCTGATTGGGTAGTGGATCGCCTCATTTCAGTCTGGCACAAGTACCTGATTGGGTGGTGGATCGCCTCATTTCAGTCTGGCACAAGTACCTGATTGGGTGGTGGATCGCCTCATTTCAGTCTGGCACAAGTACCTGATTGGGTGGTGGATCGCCTCATTTCAGTCTGGCACAAGTACCTGATTGGGTGGTGGATCGCCTCATTTCAGTCTGGCACAAGTACCTGATTGGGTAGTGGATCGCCTCATTTCAGTCTGGCACAAGTACCTGATTGGGTGGTGGATCGCCTCATTTCAGTCTGGCACAAGTACCTGATTGGGTGGTGGATCGCCTCATTTCAGTTTGGCACAAGCGCCTGATTGGGTGGTGGATTGCCTTCCCCATGTAACGGAGTTGATAAAAAAAGACACAATATGGACACATCCTACGTTGATTACAGTCGACTACAGTCGACCCGATGATGACAGATATGATTAGATCTTTGGATGACTTTTCCAGCCAGAGGCTTACGCTGTTGTTTAAGCCACCCAAGTTTATGAAGGATAAATTTCTTATCCATGCTTTTGAGCATACCAGGCACATAATTTGGATGAGGATATACAGAGAATGACATCTTCGTCAAGGCCTACTTCTCTTAAGGTTCAGGATACCAGAGTTGCATTTACTGAAACAGACGTTTGATGGGTATTAAAACCTTTATCAGCACCAGCATCGTCAACACGTGCGGTAGAGCAGGATCTGTCAGAGGATAACCCTAACAGACAACAGCTTCAAACAATAGTCGATTTCTCAACAACGTCAAATTGACCAAATCACCTTAAAGCCGCGCTGGGGGAAATAACTGTCACTCGGAGACTTTGCGATTTAGCCCTATCCACTTGGGACTCAGTTTAAGCGCAGACTGCTAAGTCAACCTTGGTCTTCCACGTCTCTGTTTAATGAACAGCTTACGAACATAGACATAGACATTCTGTTGGTAAAGAGATCCGTAGAGATTGTACACACATCAGCTTTAACACCGGGCTTTTATTCTCACATCTTCTTGAAGGACTCAGTCAATCTCTCTGTATTCCGCCAACGTTACCTAAAGTGTCCACCATACTTCTGCCTCACCACGTTGAGACTACTCAGAACCAGGATGAAGGCGTTTGATTCCATGATCAGTCTCGATCTGCGGGAGGCCTACCTGTATGTACCTATCCTTCCCTTCGACCACAGCTTCCTCAGATTCCAGGTCAATGGGGTTCACTGCCAGTGGGCAGTGCTCAGATTTGGCATTTCAGTGGCCCCATAGCTATTAACATGAGCAATGAAAAATATGTTTTTCTAAAAAGCTCCGGCGACAGGCAGTGATGTGGAGAGGTGACCTCAGGTCATCAAGGTCTTAGGACAGCCACGGTTGTCACGAAAAATGGGACTATGAACAAGAGTATTTTATTTCTTCACCCAGGACCATCGCCGTTACGCTGTCCCGTCTTTTGTCGTAAGGTAAGCAGTGAATGCATTAAGGAGTAATGCAGGATAAGTATACAAATGTAAAAAAATATTTAGATTTGACTCATTCTTTTGATAATGATAGCAATTATCCAAGTAGTTTCTCCAGATTCCCGATGGTTATTTCTGACTCAATCGCCGAATGACAAGGGTGATGCCATGTTTGTTTATAAACACTGAAAGTAGTCCCTACTTGACCTTTATTATTTGCATCTCTATCCAAATATGACCCCTACGGATATCGAGAAATCTGCCAATTATATAAATAAAAACCATGGCAGAGCTGTAGTGTTTCTGACTGTTGCACAAGACCTTCACTTATTATATATATTGTTCTCCCAGGACGTGGCGGCCCGAGGTCTCCATCTGGCTCACGTACAGTGGATTGTTCAGTACACCATCCCCACCCAGGAGGCGGAGTACATTCACCGGGTGGGGCGCACTGCAAGGGCGGGGGCGAAGGGAGAGTCACTCCTCTTCCTGCTTCCCTCAGAAGTCGACTACCTCCAGGTGCTCAACAAACACAACATCAGGTCAGTACCTCCAGGTGCTCAACAAACACATCAGGTCAGTACCTCCCTCCAGGTGCTCAACAAACACCACATCAGGTCAGTACCTCCCTCCAGGTGCTCAACAAACACAACATCAGGTCAGTACCTCCAGGTGCTCAACAAACACAACATCAGGTCAGTACCTCCCTCCAGGTGCTCAACAAACACAACATCAGGTCAGTACCTCCAGGTGCTCAACAAACAAAACATCAGGTCAGTACCTCCCTCCAGGTGCTCAACAAACACCACATTAGGTCAGGACCTCCCTCCAGGTGCTCAACAAACACAACATCAGATCAGGACCTCCCTCCAGGTGCTCAACAAACACAACATCAGGTCAGTACCTCCAGGTGCTCAACAAACACAACATCAGGTCAGTACCTCCCTCCAGGTGCTCAACAAACACAACATCAGGTCAGTACCTCCCTCCAGGTGCTCAACAAACAAAACATCAGGTCAGTACCTCCCTCCAGGTGCTCAACAAACAAAACATCAGGTCAGTACCTCCCTCAAGGTGCTCAACAAACACAACATCAGGTCAGTACCTCCAGGTGCTCAACAAACACAACATCAGGTCAGTACCTCCCCCCAGGTGCTCAACAAACACAACATCAGGTCAGGACCTCCAAGTGCTCAACAAACACAACATCAGGTCAGGACCTCCCTCCAGGTGCTCAACAAACACCACATCAGGTCAGTAGCTCCCTCAAGGCGCTCAACAAACACCACATCACGTTAGTACCTCCCTCCAGGTGCTCAACAAACACAACATCAGGTCAATACCTCCCAGGTGCTCAACAAACACCACATCACGTTAGTACCTCCCTCCAGGTGCTCAACAAACACAACATCAGGTCAGTACCTCCCTCCAAGTGCTCAACAAACACAACATCAGGTCAGTACCTCCCTCCAGGTGCTCATGAACCACAACATCAGGTCAGTACCGCCAAGTGCTCAACAAACACAACATCAGGTCAGTACCTCCCTCCAGGTGCTCATGAACCACAACATCAGGTCAGGACCTCCAAGTGCTCAACAAACACAACATCAGGTCAATACCTCTCTCCAGGTGCTCAACAAACACAACATCAGGTCAGTACCTCCATCCAGGTGCTCAACAAACGCAACATCAGGTCAGTACCTCCCAGGTGCTCAACAAACACAACATCAGGTCAGTACCTCCAGGTGCTCAACAAAGACAACAGCAGGTCAATACCTCTCTCCAGGTGGTCAACAAACACAACATCAGGTCAGTACCTCCCTCCAGGTGCTCAACAAAAACCACATCAGGTCAGTACCTCCAGGTGCTCAACAAACACCACATCAGGTCAATACCTCTCTGCAGGTGCTCAACAAACACAACATCAGGTCAATACCTCTCTCCAGGTGCTCAACAAACACAACATCAGGTCAATACCTCTCTCCAGGTGCTCAACAAACACAACATCAGGTCAGTACCTCCCTCCAGGTGCTCAACAAACACATCAGTTCAGTACCTCCATCCAGATGCTCAACAAACACAACATCAGGTCAGTACCTCCCTCCATGTGCTCAACAAACACAACATCAGGTCAGTACCTCCCTCCAGGTGCTCAACAAACACAACATCAGGTCAGTACCTCCCAGGTGCTCAACAAACACAACATCAGGTCAGTACCTCTCTCCAGGTGCTCAACAAACACAACATCAGGTCAGTACCTCCCATGTGCTCAACAAACACAACATCAGGTCAGTACCTCCCTCCAGGTGCTCAACAAACACCACATCAGGTCATGACCTCCAGGTGCTCAACAAACACAACATCAGGTCAGTGCCTCCCAGGTGCTCAACAAACACAACATCAGGTCAGTGCCTCCCTCCAGGTGCTCAACAAAAACAACATCAGGTCAGTACCTCCCAGGTGCTCAACAAACACCACATCATGTCAGTACCTCCCTCCAGGTGCTCAACAAACACAACATCAGGTCAGTGCCTCCCTCCAGGTGCTCAACAAACACAACATCAGGTCAGTGCCTCCCAGGTGCTCAACAAACACAACATCAGGTCAGTACCTCCCTCCAGGTGCTCAACAAACACAACATCAGGTCAGTACCTCCTTCCCAGGTGCTCAACAAACACCACATCACGTTAGTACCTCCCTCCAGGTGCTCAACAAACACAACATCAGGTCAGTACCTCCTTCCCAGGTGCTCAACAAACACAACATCAGGTCAGTACCTCTCTCCAGGTGCTCAACAAACACAACATCAGGTCAGTACCTCCTTCCCAGGTGTTCAACAAACACCACATCACGTTAGTACCTCCCTCCAGGTGCTCAACAAACACAACATCAGGTCAGTACCTCCTTCCCAGGTGCTCAACAAACACAACATCAGGTCAGTGCCTCCCAGGTGCTCAACAAACTCATCATCAGGTCAGTACCTCCCTCCATGTGCTCAACAAACACAACATCAGGTCAATACTTCCAGGTACTCAATAAAAACAACATCAGGTCAGTGCCTCCCTCCAGGTGCTCAACAAACACAACATCAGGTCAGTGCCTCCCTCCATGTGCTCAACAAACACAACATCAGGTCAATACTTCCAAGTACTCAATAAAAACAACATCAGGTCAGTACCTCCCTCCATGTGCTCAACAAACACAACATCACGTTAGTACCTCCCTCCATGTGCTCAACAAACACAACATCAGGTCAGTACCTCCCTCCATGTGCTCAACAAACACAACATCACGTTAGTACCTCCCTCCATGTGCTCAACAAACACAACATCAGGTCAGTGCCTCCCTCCATGTGCTCAACAAACACAACATCAGGTCAGTACCTCCCTCCATGTGCTCAACAAACACAACATCAGGTCAGTACCTCCCTCCATGTGCTCAACAAACACAACATCAGGTCAGTACCTCCTTCCCAGGTGTTCAACAACCATGACATCATACTTGTATGCAGCATCTGATCGGTCAGTCCTTTGTTTCAGCCTGAAGGAGATCAAGATGAACAGAGTGCTGGCGTGCCTGATGAAGCTGATGGCTGACCTGGCTACAGACGGGGAGGTGGTGAGAATATTGGACTCTATATAAAGTATGGACTGACGAATGTGGATACAATTTCAACTCAGTATGATGTACCCACTGATGCCAACCATGACAAACTTCCTGCTGTCATTTGGATGCTATCTAGTTAACTCATATAGGGGCAGCCATTGCTCAACTCACGGTGTGCCTCCGTGATCGTCTTGTCCAACACTGTGGGTGTTACTTATCTTGTTCAACAGTGTGGGTCGTTGCGTATCTTGTCCAACAGTGTGGGTCGTTGTGTATCTTGTCCAACAGTGTGGGTCGTTGCTTATCTTGTCCAACAGTGTGGGTCGTTGCTTATCTTGTCCAACAGTGTGGGTCGTTGCTTATCGTGTCCAACAGTGTGGGTCGTTGCTTATCTTGTCCAACAGTGTGGGTCGTTGCGTATCTTGTCCAACAGTGTGGGTCGTTGCGTATCTTGTCCAACAGTGTGGGTTGTTGCTTATCTTGTCCAACAGTGTGGGTCGTTGCTTATCTTGTCCAACAGTGTGGGTCGTTGCTTATCTTGTCCAACAGTGTGGGTCGTTGCTTATCGTGTCCAACAGTGTGGGTCGTTGCGTATCTTGTCCAACATTGTGGGTCGTTGCTTATCTTGTCCAACAGTGTGGGTCGTTGCTTATCTTGTCCAACAGTGTGGGTCGTTGCTTATCTTGTCCAACAGTGTGGGTCGTTGCTTATCTTGTCCAACAGTGTGGGTCGTTGCTTATCTTGTCCAACAGTGTGGGTCGTTGCTTATCTTGTCCAACAGTGTGGGTCGTTGCTCATCTTGTCCAACAGTGTGGGTCGTTGCTTATCTTGTCCAACAGTGTGGGTCGTTGCTTATCTTGTCCAACAGTGTGGGTCGTTGCTTATCTTGTCCAACAGTGTGGGTCGTTTCTCATCTTGTCCAACAGTGTGGGTCGTTCCTCATCTTGTCCAACAGTGTGGGTCGTTGCTTATCTTGTCCAACAGTGTGGGTCGTTGCTTATCTTGTCCAACAGTGTGGGTCGTTGCTTATCTTCTGCAACAGTGTGGGTCGTTGCTTATCTTCTGCAACAGTGTGGGTCGTTGCTTATCTTCTGCAACAGTGTGGGTCGTTGCTTATCTTCTGCAACAGTGTGGGTCGTTGCTTATCGTGTCCAACAGTGTGGGTCGTTGCATATCTTGTCAAACTGTGTGGGTCGTTGCTTATCTTCTGCAACAGTGTGGGTCGTTGCATATCTTGTCAAACTGTGTGGGTCGTTGCTTATCTTCTGCAACAGTGTGGGTCGTTGCTTATCGTGTCCAACAGTGTGGGTCGTTGCTTATCTTGTCAAACTGTGTGGGTCGTTGCTTATCTTGTCAAACTGTGTGGGTCGTTGCTTATCTTCTGCAACAGTGTGGGTCGTTGCTTATCGTGTCCAACAGTGTGGGTCGTTGCGTATCTTGTCCAACAGTGTGGGTCGTTGCTTATCTTCTGCAACAGTGTGGGTCGTTGCTTATCGTGTCCAACAGTGTGGGTCGTTGCTTATCTTCTGCAACAGTGTGGGTCGTTGCTTATCGTGTCCAACAGTGTGGGTCGTTGCGTATCTTGTCCAACAGTGTGGGTAGTTGCGTATCTTGTCAAACTGTGTGGGTCGTTGCTTATCTTCTGCAACAGTGTGGGTCGTTGCTTATCGTGTCCAACAGTGTGGGTCGTTGCTTATCTTGTCAAACTGTGTGGGTCGTTGCTTATCTTGTCAAACTGTGTGGGTCGTTGCTTATCTTCTGCAACAGTGTGGGTCGTTGCTTATCGTGTCCAACAGTGTGGGTCGTTGCGTATCTTGTCCAACAGTGTGGGTCGTTGCGTATCTTGTCCAACAGTGTGGGTCGTTGCTTATCGTGTCCAACAGTGTGGGTCGTTGCTTATCGTGTCAAACTGGGTGGGTCGTTGCTTATCTTCTGCAACAGTGTGGGTCGTTGCTTATCTTCTGCAACAGTGTGGGTCGTTGCATATCTTGTCAAACTGTGTGGGTCGTTGCTTATCTTCTGCAACAGTGTGGGTCGTTGCATATCTTGTCAAACTGTGTGGGTCGTTGCTTATCTTCTGCAACAGTGTGGGTCGTTGCTTATCGTGTCCAACAGTGTGGGTAGTTGCGTATCTTGTCCAACAGTGTGGGTCGTTGCGTATCTTCTGCAACAGTGTGGGTCGTTGCTTATTGTGTCCAACAGTGTGGGTCGTTGCTTATCGTGTCCAACAGTGTGGGTAGTTGCATATCTTGTCAAACTGTGTGGGTCGTTGCTTATCTTCTGCAACAGTGTGGGTCGTTGCTTATTGTGTCCAACAGTGTGGGTCGTTGCTTATTGTGTCCAACAGTGTGGGTCGTTGCTTATCGTGTCCAACAGTGTGGGTAGTTGCATATCTTGTCAAACAGTGTGGGTCGTTGCTTATCTTCTGCAACAGTGTGGGTCGTTGCTTATTGTGTCCAACAGTGTGGGTCGTTGCTTATTGTGTCCAACAGTGTGGGTCGTTGCTTATCGTGTCCAACAGTGTGGGTCGTTGCTTATCTTGTCCAACATTGTGGGTCGTTGCTTATCATGTCCAACATTGTGGGTCGTTGCTTATCTTGTCCAACAGTGTGGGTCGTTGCTTATCGTGTCCAACAGTGTGGGTCGTTGCTTATCTTGTCCAACATTGTGGGTCGTTGCTTATCATGTCCAACATTGTGGGTCGTTGCTTATCATGTCCAACATTGTGGGTCGTTGCTTATCGTGTCCAACAGTGTGGGTCGTTGCTTATCTTGTCCAACAGTGTGGGTCGTTGCTTATCGTGTCCAACAGTGTGGGTCGTTGCTTATCTTGTCCAACAGTGTGGGTTGTTGCTTATCTTCTGCAACAGTGTGGGTCGTTGCTTATCTTGTCCAACAGTGTGGGTCGTTCCTTATCTTGTCCAACAGTGTGGGTCGTTGCTTATCTTCTGCAACAGTGTGGGTCGTTGCTTATCTTGTCAAACTGTGTGGGTCGTTGCTTATCTTGTCCAACAGTGTGGGTCGTTGCATATCTTGTCCAACAGTGTGGGTCGTTGCTTATCTTCTGCAACAGTGTGGGTCGTTGCTTATCTTGTCCAACAGTGTGGGTCGTTGCTTATCGTGTCCAACAGTGTGGGTCGTTGCTTATCTTCTGCAACAGTGTGGGTTGTTGCATATCTTGTCCAACAGTGTGGGTCGTTGCTTATCTTCTGCAACAGTGTGGGTCGTTGCTTATCTTGTCCAACAGTGTGGGTCGTTGCTTATCTTGTCCAACAGTGTGGGTCGTTGCTTATCGTGTCCAACAGTGTGGGTCGTTGCTTATCTTCTGCAACAGTGTGGGTCGTTGCTTATCGTGTCCAACAGTGTGGGTCGTTGCTTATCGTGTCCAACAGTGTGGGTCGTTGCTTATCTTGTCCAACAGTGTGGGTCGTTGCGTATCTTGTCCAACAGTGTGGGTCGTTGCTTATCTTGTCCAACAGTGTGGGTCGTTGCTTATTGTGTCCAACAGTGTGGGTTGTTGCTTTTCGTGTCCAACAGTGTGGGTCTTTGCTTATTGTGTCCAACAGTGTGGGTTGTTGCTTATCTTGTCCAACAGTGTGGGTCGTTGCTTATCGTGTCCAACAGTGTGGGTCGTTGCTTATCTTGTCCAACAGTGTGGGTCGTTGCTTATCGTGTCCAACAGTGTGGGTCGTTGCGTATCTTGTCCAACATTGTGGGTCGTTGCTTATCGTGTCCAACAGTGTGGGTCGTTGCTTATCGTGTCCAACAGTGTGGGTCGTTGCTTATTGTGTCCAACAGTGTGGGTTGTTGCTTTTCGTATCCAACAGTGTGGGTCTTTGCTTATCGTGTCCAACAGTGTGGGTCGTTGCTTATCTTGTCCAACAGTGTGGGTCTTTGCTTATCGTGTCCAACAGTGTGGGTCGTTGCTTATCTTGTCCAACAGTGTGGGTCGTTGCTTATCGTGTCCAACAGTGTGGGTCGTTGCTTATCGTGTCCAACAGTGTGGGTCGTTGCTTATTGTGTCCAACAGTGTGGGTTGTTGCTTTTCGTATCCAACAGTGTGGGTCTTTGCTTATCGTGTCCAACAGTGTGGGTCGTTGCTTATCTTGTCCAACAGTGTGGGTCTTTGCTTATCGTGTCCAACAGTGTGGGTCGTTGCTTATCTTGTCCAACAGTGTGGGTCTTTGCTTATCGTGTCCAACAGTGTGGGTCGTTGCTTATTGTGTCCAACAGTGTGGGTTGTTGCTTTTCGTATCCAACAGTGTGGGTCTTTGCTTATCGTGTCCAACAGTGTGGGTCGTTGCTTATCTTGTCCAACAGTGTGGGTCTTTGCTTATCGTGTCCAACAGTGTGGGTCGTTGCTTATCTTGTCCAACAGTGTGGGTCGTTGCTTATTGTGTCCAACAGTGTGGGTTGTTGCTTATCTTGTCCAACATTGTGGGTCGTTGCTTATCGTGTCCAACAGTGTGGGTCGTTGCTTATCGTGTCCAACAGTGTGGGTCGTTGCTTATCTTGTCCAACAGTGTGGGTCGTTGCTTATCGTGTCCAACAGTGTGGGTCTTTGCTTATTGTGTCCAACAGTGTGGGTCGTTGCTTATCGTGTCCAACAGTGTGGGTCGTTGCTTATCGTGTCCAACAGTGTGGGTCGTTGCTTATCTTGTCCAACAGTGTGGGTCGTTGCTTATTGTGTCCAACAGTGTGGGTTGTTGCTTTTCGTGTCCAACAGTGTGGGTCTTTGCTTATTGTGTCCAACAGTGTGGGTTGTTGCTTATCGTGTCCAACAATGTGGGTCGTTGCTTATCTTGTCCAACAGTGTGGGTCGTTGCTTATCTTGTCCAACAGTGTGGGTCGTTGTGTATCTTGTCCAACAGTGTGGGTCGTTGCGTATCTTGTCCAACAGTGTGGGTCGTTGCTTATCTTGTCCAACAGTGTGGGTCATTGCTTATCGTGTCCAACAGTGTGGGTCGTTGCTTATCGTGTCCAACAGTGTGGGTCGTTGCTTATCGTGTCCAACAGTGTGGGTCGTTGCTTATCGTGTCAAACTGGTTGGGTCGTTGCTTATCTTCTGCAACAGTGTGGGTCGTTGCTTATCGTGTCCAACAGTGTGGGTCGTTGCTTATCTTGTCCAACAGTGTGGGTCGTTGCTTATCTTGTCCAACAGTGTGGGTCGTTGCGTATCGTGTCCAACAGTGTGGGTCGTTGCTTATCGTGTCCAACAGTGTGGGTCGTTGCTTATCTTGTCCAACAGTGTGGGTCGTTGCTTATCGTGTCCAACAGTGTGGGTCGTTGCTTATCGTGTCCAACAGTGTGGGTCGTTGCTTATCTTGTCCAACAGTGTGGGTCGTTGCGTATCGTGTCCAACAGTGTGGGTCGTTGCTTATCTTGTCCAACAGTGTGGGTCGTTGCTTATCTTGTCCAACATTGTGGGCCGTTGCGTATCTTGTCAAGTATCAAGTATCAAGTATTATAATTTGTTTATAGGATATCAGTTTTTTTCTTCAGATAGATAACCCACTCGCAATAGTTGCTCCACTCCCTATCCCCGCTGACACCGAAGAGTTTATGTTTAATGTCATCATGGTAGAATGGAGGAAACACTGTTTTCAGTATAGAGCATGGTTATGTGTGGATTTATCCACACTAAGTTGAACACAAACTTAATTTAGTGCAGTTAAGTCTTCAGGTAGTTTCGCTCTACATAAAAAGTATGGTATATTTATCTCATAAAACTCCCTACACTTACCCGGATGCTTGTGTTGTAGAGGCCCCGGGATCTGGTGGAGAGTGCAACACACCTGCAGATGAGGTTCGAGAACTCGGTCCAGGGACACGAAGAGATGCTCAGCCTGGCTCGGAGAGGTAACAAGGAGTTCAATCAGGTTTGCTTGGTGTGAGGCCTGAGTGGATGTTCACTCTTTCATGACCTATGTGTCACTTCTCCTGCACTGCACATTGCTCTGACTATAGACTCGCCCCCTATATGTCATTATTGTCCTCAAACGTCCCTCAGGGCTGATGTTTCCGTGGGAGGAAGACATTAGTCGCAGGAGGCCCTTGGGTAATACAGGATAAGTATAAAAAATTAACACAAGACTCTGATTATGTAACATTTTACTTATCCTGCATCACTTATTGTGCTTTATCATTTGTGATTTTTTTTGGGCATGTAAGGCAACGGGTTCCGATGAAATTAACTGTTGAACAGTGGAGCATTATATGACCTGTTAGTCACATTCCTGACCTCCTTCTACAACCTTGTTCAGTGACCTTGACCTCTGTTCCAGGGTTCAAGTCATTCATCAGGGCATATGCCACATATCCTCAACACCTCAAGTCCATCTTGAAGATCCATGACCTTCACCTCGGCCATGTTGCCAAAATGTTTGGCCTGCGCGAGGCACCTGGTGGTATCGGAGACCGGGCGGGACACCGTGACATCAAGAAACACAAGCAGCGGTGGGTCACGTTGCCTTTGATAAAGATACATGATAGAGAGATATTTAACATGATGTAGGAAATATAATTTTATGTTTGATATCACATACTGGTCTCCCTGGCCAAATACTGTGTGTGCAGCAAACAGCCCCCCACTAAGATCCGGGGTAGAATAGGTCTTCAGCAACCTATGTTTGTCGTAAAAGGTGACTATTCTTTGGGTAAGAGGCGATTAACGGGATCAGGTGGTCAGGCTCGCTGGCTTGATTGATGCATGTCTTCGTATCTCTTTTGTGTAGATTGATGCTCATTATGTCAGTCACTGGATTGTCTGGTCCAGACTTGATTTTTTTACAGACCGTCGTCATATAGCTGGCATATTGCTGAGTGAGGCGTTAAACAACAAACAAACAAAACAAAGCAAACAGTCACTCTCACTTTTGATGATGGTGTAACACTGTCACTGTTGAGACTTGTGTCCTGTCATTATTTTAGTGTCACCATTTTGTTGACAGCCCTGGGGCGCCTCGAAGGAAGAAGCTGCAGGTGTCTGAGTTTGACAGCGGCTTCACAAAGACTAAGGCAAAACGCTTAGGCCCTAAGAAGAAAAAGAACAAGAAGAAGAAAATCAAGGGGCCAAAATAAATGAATGTTGTTCGGCAGCCACCATGTTCAGTTATTGTAAATAAAGATCCTTGTTAATAGAACATCATGGTCTCTCTAGTAATCATTGCACTAATCAATGCATACATACATACATACATACATACATACATACGTACATATGTATGTACCTACCTACCTACCTACCTACATACATACATACATACATACATACATACATACATACATACGTACATATGTACGTACCTACCTACCTACCTACCTACATACATACATACATACATACATACATACATACATACATACATACGTACGTACGTACGTACGTACGTACCTACCTACATACCTACCTACCTACCTACCTACATACATACATACACACATACATACGTACATATGTACGTACCTACCTACCTACCTACCTACCTACCTACATACACACATACATACATACACACACACACACCAGACACCCAGGTCCTTGTAACAGATGAGACCAGACGCCCAGGTCCTTGTAACAGATGTGACTGACACCCAGGTCCTTGTAACAGATGTGACTGACACCCAGGGCCTTGTAACAGATGGGACCAGACACTCAGGTCCTTGTAACAGATGTGACTGACACTCAGGTCCTTGTAACAGATGTGACTGACACCCATGTCCTTGTAACAGATGTGACTGAGACCCAGGTCCTTGTAACAGATGAGACCAGACACTCAGGTCCTTGTAACAGATGTTACTGACACCCAGGTCCTTGTAACAGATGTGACTGACACCCAGGTCCATGTAACAGATGAGACCAGACACTCAGGTCCTTGTAACAGATGTGACTGACACCCAGGTCCTTGTAACAGATGAGACCAGACGCCCAGGTCCTTGTGACAGATGAGACCAGACACGCAGGGCCTTGTAACAGATGTGACTGACACTCAGGTCCTTTTAACAGATGTGACTGACACCCAGGTCCTTGTAACAGATGTGACTGACACCCAGGTCCTTGTAACAGATAAGACCAGACACTCAGGCCCTTGTAACAGATGTGACTGACACTCAGGCCCTTTTAACAGATGTGACCGACACCCAGGTCCTTGTAACAGATGAGACCAGACACTCAGGTCCTTGTAACAGATGTGACTGACACTCAGGTTCTTGTAACAGATGTGACTGACACCCAGGTCCTTGTAACAGATGTGACTGACACCCAGGTCCTTGTAACAGATGTGACTGACACCCAGGGCCTTGTAACAGATGAGACCAGACACTCAGGTCCTTGTAACAGATGTGACTGACACTCAGGTCCTTGTAACAGATGTGACTGCCGACCAGGTCCTTGTAACAGATGTGACTGACACCCAGGTCCATGTAACAGATGTAACCAGACACCCAGGTCCTTGTAACAGATGAGACCAGACACTCAGGTCCTTGTAACAGATGTGATTGACACCCAGGTCCTTGTAACAGATGTGACTGACACCCAGGTCCATGTAACAGATGAGACCAGACACTCAGGTCCTTGTAACAGATGAGACCAGACACTCAGGTCCTTGTAACAGATGTGACTGACACCCAGGTCCTTGTAACAGATGAGACCAGACGCCCAGGTCCTTGTAACAGATGTGACTGACACCAAGGTCCTTGTAACAGATGTGACTGACACCCAGGGCCTTGTAACAAATGAGACCAGACACTCAGGTCCTTGTAACAGATGTGACTGACACTCAGGTCCTTGTAACAGATGTGACTGACACCCAGGTCCATGTAACAGATGTGACTGACACCCAGGTCCTTGTAACAGATGAGACCAGACGCCCAGGTCCTTGTAACAGATGTGACTGACACCCAGGTCCTTGTAACAGATGAGACCAGACGCCCAGGTCCTTGTAACAGATGTGACTGACACCCAGGTCCTTGTAACAGATGAGACCAGACACTCAGGTCCTTGTAACAGATGAGACCAGACACTCAGGTCCTTGTAACAGATGTGACTGACACCCAGATCCTTGTAACAAGTAAGGATAACAATTTATGGATGAACAACTTCTCTATTACATGTCAGAGCGGCGTTTCAGTGTTAGAACCTACACCAAATGTCGCTCTTAATTGTAATAAAGAAGTTGTTCATCCATAAATTCTTATCCTTACTTAGTACTCCAACTTCTAAATGCCGAACAAAGAAGTCCTTGTAACAGATGAGAAATCAAAGGATTAAAAAATATTGTGAGAGAATTTTCAAAATATTAATGAATCAACACTTTTACTAAACAAACCATATATAAAAAATAGGAGATGTTAGAGAAGTGGAAAATAAGGGTATGCAAGTTAGAGAGAGATGTTTATTTGTGTGTCACATGCACAAGCCGTCATGGTTGACATAAGTGCTCAGAACAAAAGCTTGTACATCCAGCCTGATTAGACTTACGAGACACATTTAAGTACATGTGTATTCATTGTGACGTGGCTATATCCCCCACCCCTGTTGCAGAATTAGTGACATAATTAAATCTAAACAAACCCTAACCTTTTTTAACCGAGGTGGAACTTGTTGTCATGGAAATTGTAAATAAATAAGAAGAGTTTGGCACTGACTTGGCCAAGTCTCCTGCCAAGCAAATGAAGTGTATATTATGTCAACAATAGTGAAATTTGATCACACAAACACATACATTTGAAAATATTCAAAATTTTGTAAGGAGTAAAAAGGCAGCAGGGGAGCATCTACTTGATGTAAATGCAAAATATCCTGAAGAAACAAAATAAAATGCTGAACTCTATGAAGTTCAAGAAACAAATGAAACCTTCTCCACAAAAACATGATGGAAGTACAAACTGACAAAACCAGTTACTACATTTACTACTGAATTCATTTGGGTGGGAGAAAGAAAAAACATTACAAGTCACATTTTGACTCGTTATAATATCTACATGGAATATTTGTTAAGAAACATAAATGGTATTCGTTTGTGATATGTGACTATGGTCATTACCAGTTCAAACCCAAGATGTTACTTTGTACATAGCAGATTAAATGCAAAATATTAAGATTCAAAAAGTTCAGTCCATTACCACATTGATTAACATACAAAGAAATAATGATAGTCACTTCAATATACTACACCTATTCCGTCACACCCCACACTAGATGATGGTCAGTGTATGGAACTGGAAAGACTCCTGTTGAGATGGGCTCATTACAGAAGATCAAGTCTCGTGTACCCCCAAGGGTGTGGGTTGGTTTGCTGATATACTTGGCGAATGTAAACTACTCCATGAGGTTGGATAGTGCATTGTTGTCACGGACAGACTGCTACATATTCAAGTTCCCAGTGATAACAATCCTATACTGATTGAGCTTTTGGCATTTAAAAGAAGAATTAAAAAATTTCTAAAAGTTCAACTTGTTGCCATAGAAAAATAAAAAAATAAAAACTTCCAAAATATTAAAATAGCAAAAGGCACCAGTTGAGCATGTACCTGACAGACCTGCAAAGTTTCATGAAAAAATATTGAACGGTTTTTTTAGTTATGCTCCGGAAACGAACCCTACCCTCACAGAACCTAAGTCCATCTTGTCGCCATGGAAACGTAAAAAATACGAATTTCTAAAATTTCTAAATAGCAAAAGGCACAAGTTCAGCATGTACCTGACAGACCTGCAAAGTTTCATGAAAACTTATTGAACGGTTTCTGAGTTATGCTCCGGAAACGAAACATGACGGACGGAGCCCGTTTCTATATAAATAATAGAAATAGAATACAACTGTATAAAGGAGAAAAAGCTAAATACTTTTGCCATTTGGAAAATAGGAACTACATCAGCAAGTTGATAAATAAATTAACTAACTCTAAAAATGAGGAAATAACTGATCGTAAAAAAGATTATCGCAGAACAAAACGTTTTATGAGCAACTATGTACTGCAACAAAATATACTGAACAACAAAAGTTCCTGTGACATTGAATAAGATTTAATGCAAAGTTATGTTTTTTACCAAACCTGAAACAATTTCGGTTTGCAACAGACTCCTGTAGGTGTTCAAATGGTTTAAGTTGGCATACTGACTTCAGAAAATACGTGATTTCATTAAAAACATGAACATGCCAAAATGTCAATTTACAAATCAATAGCGTGTGTGTCCACCTCTGGACAAGGCGTCGCACAAAGTCCTGTGGGATATCTGTCCATATCTGCTGGAGCATGTTTCGAAGTTCCTGGAGTGTCTGTGGAACACGTGGTTGACGTCGAAGGCGCCGATCCATCTCATCCCGCATGTGCTCGATTGGTGAGAGATCAGGGGAGCGAGGGGAAGACATTCACGTTGTTTTGTTGAAGACAATCCTGAACAAGTCGAGCAATATGAGGCCGGGCGTTGTCATGTTGAAAGGTAATGCCTGGGCCATGACGACGCTAAAACGGTAGAACAACAGGGCCGATGATCTCGTCGCGGTAGCGCTGTCCATTGAGATTTCCCTCTACCACTATCAAACGGGTCCTCTGTCTTGCTGTAATCCAACCCCATACCATAACGCTGCCGCCCCCGAACCGATCTTCTTCCATGACACAATGATTGACGTAACGTTCACCTCGACGTCGGTACACTCGAATCCGTCCATCGCTGTGGCTGAGGTGAAAATGAGACACAGTTAATAGAACTTGTCCCCACTGCATGGCTGTCCAGCGTAGACGCTGTCTGCACCACTGTAGACATGCTTGACGGTGGTTTCCTGTCAAAATAGGACGTCTGGCGGGTTTTCTGGCGACAATCCCTGCACATCTGAGGCGGCGACGTACGGTTTGTGAAGATGTTCCGCGAAGCCCAGGGATGCTTCTTACTGTCACTGTTGCTGGCTGGAATCGATTTCGTAGGTGTGTTGTTCGAATCCAGTTGTCTTGTCGATTATTGTTTACGCGTGGCCTGCCACTCCGAGGATGGTCTCTGACTGCATTCGTCTGTTGCCAACGTTGCCCTAAACACGTTGCTAAACACGATGCTAAACAATGCATATGGAATCCCGTTAACGCACATGTTTTTATACCCATTCTTGGGTAGTGAAATGCATGGGGCTTGCATAAAAGTCAACTTTTG